ACGGGAGCCAGGCCACTCTGGTATCGCTTCGCTTGGCAAGAACCACATCTAAGCCAACTCCATACATGCCATAAATATTGCATCGGCACTAATATTAATGTAGTTGCAAACGGAATACATTCGAATGTACTGGTACAACCCAATTGGTTAGTCTCCTTTTGATTGGTCAGAACACACCAAATCGAGGACGGGCTATACATAGCGTATAGAGCTCGAGCTAGAGAGTGCAGGGTAACTACAGCATTAGCACCAATCCCTGGTGTTCTCTATCTAGCTATCGTACCCTTTTGCAGCGTTTCCCTGTTTCGCAGCGATCTATTTCAATATTTGCTTCTTTTGTTTTGCTGTCTTGGTGGGCTATTAAATATTTCGGACGGAGAGAGTGCCAAATATTCAAGGCTGAAAAATCTTAGATCATGTCAGCTGAAAGGAGGGCAACTGCGGGCTCAGGGTGTGTCTCATCAAAAGAAATTTATCCAACATGCCGAAGTTGCGTTTCTATCCGTTACGGCACCGTAGACGCTGATGAGGACCGATCATTCTAAGGACCCATGCAACAAGAATTGCATGGTGTGGTCGCAGCCTCCAATCGATACCCCACATCGACTTGAATTGGTCACCCATTAGCGTCTCTTATGGAAGCTACGACCGGGAATTTGTCGGCATATGGCTGGCGTTATCTCACGATATCCACCCTAATTTAGGGTAAGTCGGCGTGCAAGAATCCGGAACCGCAAAAACCGTAGTTACTGAAGCTCCTCGGCATTTTCAGCCCTAACAAACAGAAAGCAATATTTAGACCCAACTTTCCTTCAAGCAACTTAACAGCCATTCATTAAAATTCGTACCTCAGCCCCTTGATGCATACCAAGAGCCATGAATATTCCGGTTAGCCTAGCGATGTTCGCCAGCAGTTATCATTGAACTGATATCCGACCATCTATAGATCCACTGACTCTACAAATCTATGACAAAAAATCGGATAACATAAGTTCCTAGTCAACACGTAGTGGTGTATCACTGATCAGACCATAACTAAGCGGCCCTATAATGAGAGAACGATACCCATTCGTCGCTCGGGTTCGATTAGAATGGGGTATCTGAAAAACCTGCGGGATCGGTCTGCTATTACTTAGAAAATTGTGTATATTCTAGTTCCATAATGGAGAGGACCCTGCGGGTTCGGCAGGGTTGCGTGTCGTAAACTATATCAGTCGCATCAAAAATGCTGAGGGGTTCCGCCGGCTCTCCGTACCACTCGGACAGCCAGCCTCTGAATCGCTATTATTTCCCAGAATACGCGAACCATGTAACCTGATAGAGGTGTCTCGTAAACCAAACGCGAAGTACGGGGTGATCCAGAGCGGAAGTGAGCGAGAGAGGCCAAAGGCTCAGAAGGGGCAAAGTTCTCGAGGGAGCCTAGGGGGGTTCTGGGAGGAGCCTCAAGAAGGGCCCAGCCTACCACTCATATCTTCGTTACTAAAGAAACCTTCTTCGTGGGGAAGTACTCATGACTGACCATTCCTACAATTTACTCTGGTTTATAGTTCATAAAATACATAGAAGTTCAAAAGAATGCTAAACCTTGGACCGCAACCCGTAAGATTGCACAAAGCTAATCGCAAATATTCTGCCGATATTGCTCAAACACTCTACCGGGAAAGAACCGCAGCTTTTTAAATACCCAATTGCTAGGTTTGGGTCACCGCCATCGGTGAGCTTTTCGTAAACACATTTCCCTGTCGAACACAACTTGAGTACCGTATTTTGATCGCTTTCCTTCAAACCGAACTTCTCGATTTCATCTTCGAAAGCTGTGAACGCCCGGTCCGTCATTCCGACACTTACTTGAGATAAGATATCAACAAATCCCAAGGCCAAATTCAATTGTATTGTCTCCCAATCGCCTTGATGTACTGTTAGGTATTGGCAAAATTTTTTACGGGCAGGGCGTCTGATAGTTGTTGCGCAGTCTGAAACCATCCTAAGGTGGCTGAATCGAAATACCCCCGCCTTCTGGAGAAAGGCTTTCATAGTGGCCTCGCTGTTCGTAAGGAGGGTATCGATACAACTAGTACAGCTGTGGCCTGGAGAGCCGGCGACGAGGGTGGCAGTTTGAGTCCCACCTCGAATTAAATCCCTGAGACTTTTATTTTCTGCTTTGGCAAGTTCGATTTCTTGCTTAAGCCTTTCTTTCTCGACTCGAAACTCCTCAAAGCGTGCTGCACCAGACGTTAGCTGTATGTAATTTTATGTAACTGTTTGGCATGTTTGGTTGTATACCGGTACGCCTCATCCTACTAATGCGAGCCTGAATTGTCCTCCGTTCTTTCCGTTCCAATTTCTGTCCTCGATTACTTTTGAGGAACTGTTGATATTCCTCGACGGTTTTGCAGGTGTCGTATTCTCGCTTTGGAGTCCCAAGTCCGGGAATCATGGTGAAAGACTCCCCTGGTATGACAGATTGTTTCCAAGGCTTTAAAGTCCCGGTGGCCACGGCAGGCTTCTTATAGAACTATGATGCCAGTAGCTTGGCGGGCTCCTTGCTTAGGGGGTTTCGCCCGCCCCATATTTTTGCCCTTAATTCCATCTCCCCGGGACTATCACATGATCAGTACATAGGAAATGAAACCCCTTGGAAATTACCTAACCATGTATGATCTCTTCAGCCGCTTTGATCGCAATTTGCAATCAGGCGGTTGGGTGAAACATATCGGCATGCGCAGGTGTCTAGACCCAGAAGATAGCCAGTACTAATACCTTAAGCGTACACCTGAGGCGCCTGAGCCATTAAACTTCACAGCCAAAGTGTTGACGAGGAAGCGTTCATGGGAATACCTTGGCAAAATTTAAATAGGATCAATAGGACAACTCGGATGAATATAAAATACAATGCGAAGCCCAGAGAACTGCCTTGCGCCACTACCTCTCAAAGGACTCTCCGCTGAGTTATTCATGGTTTCTTGTGCAGGTTGGTGAGTGGGTCCAATTTATCAAATACCGTGACCTGGATGTGGACGAGGAGATGCCGACCAAGGTGCACCTAGGTGGGTAAAGACTGAGCTGGGTGCCGCAAAGATCGACGACCATATGCAGTGTATAACGTTAAATATAAAGGCTATCAACAGAGAGGAGGGATGTCGAGGTATTTTTCACTGAGTGGTTGGAGCTAAAAGTTCCTTAGCATAGCTTTCCTTGCCAATTTCGGAGTGTCTTCCACGGATACGAGCTTAATAGATATCATAGGACGGCCTACATCTAGTGGATTCCACACCCCTCCAATAACTCCTCAGTTATATACTTTTGTGATTTGAGGAAATGATAAACTTACCTTTATCTTAATGCGCGGGTGCCCACAACAGTATTAATATATTTATTGCCGCAAGCTAGTTGGGTAGCTTTGGGGTTGAAGCCTCTCAAATTCTTTACCCGTTGGCACTAGAGCTTGATTCAACGGATTAAGCGTCGCCGGGTAATTTTGGTACACAATAATTAGTCAGTAGGCTACGTATGGGGCGAAAGATCTATCGAGGAGCCCTCACTTTACTATTACATGTTCGGAAAACAAGACCCCGTCGTCTCTAGAGGCCGTCGGTCAGCTGAGAAAAAAGAATAGCAATAGCAGTTATTTAGCTGGATATGGCTGTTGAATGAGTTCTAGGGTGGCTCCGGCTCGCGATTTTTGTTTTCGGGCAGAGGTTGTAGGGCATTAGCCGGGCTATGCTCTTGGAATTGGCCTTAGTCTTGGATGATCCCCCCATCCTGTTATATACCAAATACTGTGGCCCAGCCCGAAAAGTCGTGTAACTTTTATATGCCGGAGAGATAGGTCTGCAGCTAACCAGGCTTCAGCCTCTGCCGATTACCAGCCTCAACTAGTGTCCTTAAAACTTCTGCCCAAGAACAAAAAGCGTGAGCCAGAGCAGCGAATAGACCCAAATATAGTGCCAGATTTTGGAGGAAACAAAAAACTTTGATTAGACCTGCCGTAGTCGATAGGTTTTTCTTCAGCTAAGGGAAAAGGCGCTTTTGTAGCATCGAATGAAGAACAAGAGAGATTTTAGGTATCTCGTTTTGCTCGCTTTTATATAGAGGTCTTCCTCTTAATCTCTATCTCTAGGTATGCACCCTTTCCACCTTAATGCCTTAAATCCCCATACGTCAAATTGCATGTCACATTCGAATGTGACCTCCGCGGCATAACGTATATGGGTCCTCGCAGAGTCTCCACCCTGCAACTATACGAGGAGAGATGGAGTTCCCCCAGCACCGATATCGAGCTGCCCGTGCCCCAACGTGCATGCTAGCGGTTTTATTGACCAATCCTTCAATTCAATCATAATTATTTCCCTCAACTATCACACTTTCTTGCATGATGCGTCTGAAATAATATCTTTTCTAGGATACATATCGACGACGCACATGCACCGCCTCGTTCCGGCAAAATCATACGGCGGAGTCGCGCCTTACTTTCTGGACCGCTTTTTTGGCCCGACCTGTTTTAGAGTTGGAACCAAAGTGTATATAAACCAACCATATTTGAACCTTTCCCCAGCATCCAAACATCAGACACACAGCCTGGCTTTAGTATCAAAAACTCTGCATTTTAAACCATCCGGACGTATCTGAGTCAGGCTTTGATCAGTAATTCGAGCTCTGAGGGCGAAAGGGTAAGAGCCGTTCCTCAATTTTAGTAGACCTAAACTAATTGCATAAAAATCCTAACAGGTCGAATATTCCAAATCGCTTTTTTTTTCTAAAGCAAGCATTGTTCGGACATCATGGTGGCGGTGGACGATGAGAACATGAAGAAATCCATGGTCGATTTCGAAAACGCACTCAAAAACAATGACAAAGCTAAAATTGTGGAAATTTCCACAAGCCAACCACATGCAAGATGGACCTTCAAGACCGAAAAGCCAGAGCAAGCGGCTGTAACCATCGATGCAGTCCCACATCCCGGTGGCTGGTCCTTCCCAATGGCACCGCCAGGTTTTATTGGCCTTGCTGCTGGCATCAAATCAAAGTACTCTGTACTGGCAATACAAAACCTCTACGCCTCAGGTGCTGACCTTGATGGTACCACATCTGAAAATGTAGCCTCCATCCATCTGGCCGCTCGTCAACAAAACCATGAGGCCGTAGAATGCCTTATCAATCTAGGCGCTAATTTAGAGGCCGAAAGTCAAACGGGGAAAACAGCCATTCAATTCGCGGCATGGATGGGGGCAGAAACTGGGGACACTAGGTGCTTGAAACTCTTGTTAGAGGGAGGTGCAAATGTCAACGCGAAAAACTCATCTGGCAGGACAGCAATACACTGGGCTCTATTTGGGGTTGATCCTGAGGCATTAGAACTCCTACTCAAGCACCCAAGTGTTAATAAGGACGCAAAATATTTAGAATACTCAGACAAGAACTCGAGCACAAATTTGACGGTTGTGGACCAATTCAATGCAACACAAGAGCGGTATGTCGAGTACGGAGAAGAGGGGCGGGCCGAGATGTTGGAACTACTTCGTCAAAACGGTTTATCACCAGTGCAGCCGACGGAGAGGCCAGAGGGAGGAAAGTACCCTTTGCTTACGTATGCATCAACTAAAGTTCGTTGCCGATTATAATGAATCTCCAAAATGAGAACATGTCTTTTCGTGTATACAATTTAAGTTACTCCTATACTAAAGTAGCGGCCAGCCAATGAGCTATGGAAATTCATGTGATCTTTGAAAATGAGCATATACGCACAAGCGCTATATAATACCAAGTAGCCGATCAGTGCTCAGTATCTGGGACTATTACAATGATGATTGTATATAAATAAGTACCAGTCATTTGCAGTGGTTTCCGTTAGCTTCTATATTCTTTTTCCTTATCGCAATGCACCTGCAAGCCTAGCTCCGCTGATCGGGAGCGCCACCCCTCAGCTTCGTGTACAGCGTCGAAACTGCTGAAACCGCGAACCCGTACCGAGACCGCCCTCGTTCCCGAAATCTCGCTCTTGACACATTTAGTGCCACCAACGGCGGAAGAGTTTTCTTATGCAAATTGCGAAAAGCTGCCTCTAAAGTCGATTTACGTGCCGAGTCTGGAGTTTCTGGGTTAGCCAATCGGTCGACGGATACGATTAACAATTGGCTTTTGCGCATTAGGATTGGAATAATAAAAGCCACCGCAACAATGTTACCGTGAACGCTGTAGGAACTGGACAAAACAAGGCAAGGGTGTGCATTAATCTGCACTTTGTCATCTCTCCGTCGTTCAAGCCCACCTTCGTTGAATTCCGTGCCTCTTCATATCTATCCCATCGCTCTTCTCTCCCCTGCCCTTAATACCGCCCCTTGTAACTAGTCCACCCCTATTTGTGCCTAGCTACATCATTTTGGCTTCGATATATATCCTGTCATGAGAACTTTCGCGTTCTTGCATATGCATAGTCCTATGCTTCCTTCACATTATCCAGGATTTTCCATCCTTCTATCAACTAGAACAGCTGGTGAGATTACTCTACATGTACACTACATGCGGGTGCTATTAGGATCTACTGCAGATACAACTGAAGAACAAATCCATGGTCTATACCTTGGCGACGCCGCGAGGTTTCAGGCGACCACTAACTTGCCATATCCATGCGCATGTGCACGAAGAGTATACTTTCGCGGCCCACACCATTAGGTTTCGTGTGTGCAATATATTCCATTGCCAAAGTTATAGAGAATGAACAAGGCATGGTGGTACGGTGTGTTTGAGAGCAATCTCTTGGTGCAGAAAATTCTTGGCGCAACAAACCGAAGTGTCTTATTTTGGACGTTGGCGTTTTCGTCCCTGATCTCCCCTGACCTCCCCTAACCTCACTCCGCCTCCCTAGCTTGTCCCGCCGGCTGCCTCAGTCATTATAGCCAAAAGACACCCAAGCTTAGTCACAGCAGAGTTAAGAAGGTTTCCAGCGAGTGACCAAAATAGCACCGATAGATCAGCGCGAGCGTTGTTGAAGCACCCTTGGGAGGCCTAACAGAAAGACGAATAGGAGGGCGGGTTAGAGGCCCTGAAACAGGCATATGGGTCAGCTTTCTCTGTTTCCAGCACCGGATCCATTATTACTCGTATGTTAAATATCATAATCATGGTATCTAGCTTGACGAATAGGATAGCCACCCAAGCGAGAGCCGATTTTGTAGGTGAGGAATTGTGGAATTTGAGGAATTAGCGCGGAGAAACCTGCATAGTGGGAAATTCCGGTGCGGACGGCAAGTACCAGATGCGCCTGAGTGGGTCTGCGTTGATGATGGATGAGCCCGGACCTACGTTTAGGCTTACTCGTAATGTTCTCCCAGAACGGGTGTAGAACCGAAGTCTTGTTATTGTATTGATACTTCTAGGTACATGAGGGAGTTCAAGGAATTCGACCAGTTTCCACGCAGGAGGTCGAGTCACGTCAGAGTTCCATGCTGGTTCAGGTGTGTGACTCCGTCGTATTAGTTTCAGCACTTTCATGAACACGCTCAGATTGCCGGCGCCTTGGTTTGTTTCGCTTAAGGTTTTCCACTTGCTTGTCAAATATGTATGCGACAAACCAATTGTTCCCATCAGTAGATGTCGCCAAGATCATTGCTAGCATGATATCCCGTAGTTTAGGCTGTGACAATTTGATATCCGCAACTAACCAGTCCAGCACCTGGCCCTGCACTTTCTCGCCGAGTTCTGCGAACTTCCCGATCAATGGAGGTACCGGTAATGAGCTCTCAGTCAGTTGCAAAAGGATATTTTTGCATCGCCTCTACGAGCCCTGATTTGTTAGAAGCCTCCCGGTTCTGCGTGTGAGTTGTTGCATTTTGGATTGATACCTTGTGTTGTTTCAGGACGGCCTTGAAGCCATAGAGTTCCCAGTCCCAGTACGGATCCTCGAAGGCATGTCTCACCTTTCTATCCGTAAGCTTTTCTCCTGGGCCCCTTTCAGGCGCTGGAACTCGCGGAGGGGCAGCGCTCACGTGCTGTGACGTTGACATTGGGTCCTGGTTCTACCAACTGGCGGTGTGATGTTCGAATGTTCTATACTAGAGGAATCCACCTCCACAAAGCGCTCTTCAGACACGTTGACACACAACAGTCGTCAACAAACACAGAACAAACGCCCAGATTATCGATTAACAGGCGTTAAACAAATGCCGTGTGCGTGATCACTAGCTACCGTTTAAGTACTTGAAGCTACAGTAGCATGAAAGTAAGAGCCGGGCTCTTAGAGGCATCGAGACCTACGCTCTACACCGCGGTCATGCCCTTGGTAGTTGGATGAGGACTAAAAGGCAGCTAAATATGAACTAACCGGCCTTATAGACATGATTGCGATCCGTACCTATTTGCCGCGCAGACGTATAGTAGAAAGAAATCCAACAAATACAACACATTTGCGTCGGGGAGCCTCACGAGTATTAGTTGAGCCTAGAGCTGGTATAAAGCGAGCAACAGCACTAGGGCTATCTAACCATTAAGAGATAAAATAGTCTCAGATAGGGCTGCCGTTCTAGAGAGTAAAAATCTTAGGATGAACGACTTCGCAATTAAATTTCGCGAGCAAGTCACGAACTCACAAATCGACGCGATGGATTAGTCCCAGGCTGTCTCTAGATACGCATACATTATATATAGTTCTTGGCCGGCGGTCCGCCAAATAAATACATCGATGAATTTGCTCCATCGGCCCTAGAAATGGCTTCTGCTTTGGTAGTTGAAATGGTGAAGGCAACGGTGCCTCCATATCGCAAAGGAAGACATTTCGGAGCTTCAGCACCTAGAGGTGCATCCGACAAGGGATTGAAATTCTTAGTAGAGGTTGACGGCGTCAAGGTATAAGAAGTCATACAGTTCCTATCTCCATTCCAATACGCCTACCGTGTCTTCCCTAGTGTTCCACAGCTCTGGGCAGCGCTCACTCGTAGCGGCGAATTAAATCTACTCGAGCAATAATGCGTTCCATAGGCCCTTGAACATCATGACAAGCGAAGCCGTCTAGTAATGTGGGTTGCGAGATATGACCAAACAAGAAGCAAACGTTGTGGGGAACCGGGTGTCCAATCAATGCCTAAGAATTTTACGTATACCAGCACGGCTAGGTGGCGGGGCAATTGGTCAATGTTAGGGAACCGCTATGACAATCGTGCAATATAAAAAAAATAGGAAAATATCAAGTCGAATTTCATTACGGAGATACTTCACGCGCGTATGGGCGATAACTCAGTTGCACTACATGATCCGTCAATACCATTACTACCCCATTTATATTCCACTTGGGGCTCCATTAACGTAATCCTCTTCTTTGTTATCAAACTTCTTTTTTGCTATTCTTCTTTTCCTCGTCAATCGTCTTCTCTTCCTTCTGTCCTGGGATATCGGACACGCAGGTTCGACCCAGGGCGCGGGGATTATGCATGCAGCCCTTTCATCAAAGCATAGGTGGGTGGCCGCTCACAAGCAAATATTATCAGTTCTATACTTGAGGGTGGTGGGAAAGAGATTAAGGGTGGACAAGGGCATTCAGCCACGATCAATGAACAACTTTGGATTTAATTATCGACGTTCTCTAAAAACTCAGAAGTCAGAAGTCAGAAATCCGGCCGTAGACATCGGTGGGTAAAAAGTAGCAAATTCTAGCGCTCCTAGAGTTCTAGGCAAAGATATGGCTTCGCCCGACCGGCTCCGGCACGATATCTCAAAGCAACAGTACCCGGCTTCACACTACTAGGCTCAAAGCGAGACAAAAATTTGTCCTCTCCTGGTTTCAGATTCTAACAAATTTTTTCACCTCGGACAGACTATAGTATATGCAAAAGACTTCTTAATGTAGCTATCAGATAATGCCCAGGGGGGTATGGCGTAGAGCGGGGGAGGGGCAAACAGAAACGAAAGGGAAAGAAAGCGGGGTATTTAATAACAAAAGGCAGAATACGACGGGTGCACATGGGAACCTATCTCTAACCGACATAAGAACGTTCGAAGTGCAATGGAGGATTATCATCGCAAGAGGAAACCATCGAGGAGTGGAACGTAGGCAGATGCCAGTGTAAGCGGGGGGACGACTATTAAATCTAGAAATGTGAATAGAGGGTTTTGGAGGAGGAAACCCTTCCTAATGTGGAAATATTCGTTCCCTGTATACTATGTGTATAGTGAAAACGAAGCTCCTAAGTTCGCTGCCGTTCAGCAGCCTAGCTAAGGGATACGGCGTAGACGGGGTCCTATATAGGCGATGATGTTGCTAGCAGACACGTTTAGCCGGCGGAGAAGGACGGGCGTGATGTATATGTTTTGTAATGGGTTCTGCCCGAGGTGAGCTCTGTCGCCGAAAAACCTAGATCAGTCGACGGCGATGTAAAGGGGTACATTGGCGAAGTGGGAGCGGGCGACCGTCGCATCTATCTATCTATTAGCATCCATCTATTAGCAAGTAAATCAATTTGGCTCGCCCCTGCTCTTCATCAATGCTTCTTGACCTTTAGGTAGTAGTCGTCATACATGTTTCATGTTTGCGGTCTATAGGTCAAAGGATCCTAGGAGGAAGCAAAACATGTTGTTTTTAAATGTATAATAGAAAGAAGATACAGTCTTGGAGCTAGGGGATTATCCCATTTAATAGTAATCTCCGGCATGAGGGTGTCTGCCCCGTAGAGGTGGCAGAGTATAGTTCTCATAGTCATTCCCCTCCGATCGCCACATATCCGACTGTTGATGCATATTCCCTTGTCGTTCCATATTTAGCTGCTGCCTTGCACTACCTTGGCCCCGCATATCGGACCGATTTTCTGCGTGTGGTGCCTCCTCCGCCCTTGAAGGCTTCACCGCTTTCATCCGGTTATCCCATAGCCAACGTGTGTATTCTTTTGTTGTTATCCCCCCTAGGTTATACTCTGGTAGGCCGGATATAGCGTTTGATATTCGTATACGACGATCGAGCGTCAGTGCATTGAAGAGTACCCCAGAGGGCTCTTCAGGGAAGAAATTGAAAAATGATTCCGAGACTCTTCGAATTGCGAACTAGGTGTTTGTGAGAACACGCACCTAAAAATATAGCGTCGGGAGGAGATGTCGAAGAACTCAATACATACCCTTAGATCCATCCATCGACCTTTCACCAGTTTCTTGAACTGCGCATCGTCTTTGGCCTGTCTTAGTGAGACATCCCGGAATAATGCCCCCTGGACCTCTGCTGCGGATATACCGCTGGTTCCAGATGTTCTGCTCGCGTAGAGGTGCCTCTCTGTGTCGAAGGCTTCACTATCTTCCGACGTTATTTCATCGGTCCAATAATGGCGGAACTCGTCTGTTGATGCCATAATTCTGGGTTGTGGAGTTTGTGGCCCTGGTGCCGGTGCCTGGTTGGGGGATTGAACCGGAGGTTATCTGCGATATTTTGCTCCTTCTTCGGGAGGGGTAGGACGTGGGTAGCTAGTTAATTTGTGGCGTAAGAGTGGCTTGTTGCTAGCCTTGCGTTATTGCGCCAACGACGCTTGGCAAATTGGGCGCCTGGATGGTCTCGTCGCAACCAGACAACACGGAGTCCACCGCCTGGATGTGAAGTGGGAGATTGGAGATGTTAGAAGCACAAAGCACTTTTCAACAAGACAACGATGCCCTTCGCGCAGTTTCTAAGCTATAAAAACATCTTCCTCGGCCTAAATGCAGCGTCGGCACATGTGCGCACATCTCCATTCCTACGGCGCAGCAATTCAAGTCAAGGAAATCGGCGCGACCGCAAACGCAAATTTTGAAACCATCCAGCAGAAATTTGTCTGGGATTGGCGAGGTTGAGGGAAATTGAGGGAGGTTGAGGGAGGTTGAGGGAGGTTAAGCGAGGTTGAGCGAGGCTGAGGGAGGCCCAGGGAAGCGGACACCGAAGGGCGTTCGGAGAAGCTGGGAGAGGTGACTTGACAGGCTTCCTTAGAGAGGTGAGGTGCCCTATGATATAGTGACTCTAACCTGAGGTTATGTCCAGATGTATAGCGTGACCATTAGCTGGTGATATGACCTACACGATTTAATGCAGCACTCTAGCCGCTCGAGATGGAGATCACGAAGTTTCGGGAAAATGAAGTAATCCACCGGGGTATCGTTCAAACCCTAGAAACACCAAATTTTTTATTTTTTTTAAAAAAGAGTTCCGTACCTTTCACTCAAGCACCCACACCCCCGCCTATCGGATCCCTATCAGCGCTGAAAGGATAAAACGATACCAGGCATGGTGTCAATGTGACACGGACTCTGAGGCTGCTGCCTCCCTTCATCTAGTCCCTTTCCTGCATATTTTAATTGCATTCGCCATTCTGGCCCGCCTTTTTGAATGGGACCGCACCCTTTCCTACAGGGCTAAGCACCCTGCATGTAGGGCTCCCGGGCTGACGATAGTCATAACGAAAATTTAATGTGGTGGCCAACCCTTTTTTCTCCCACGCGCCCGTTCAGGGCGCTCGGATGTGTCCTGCAAGTTGTATCACAACCATTCGAATAACACGGGAAATGCACCTGCGATGTCGAGTGATAGCGAATACGTGCGCGCGCGTAAACATTGGCTCAGGTGCAAAGGTCCGTTACGGGTATTAAGGTCCGGCACATTCCCAACATTGGAGGGTTGGCTTTTAAACATGATCCCCCCCAGCAGATCCCACTCGATAAATCCTGTACAGCGAGATAATCTTTTAGCGGACCTTAACCAGTAGAGCTTCCACAAGGTATATTGCAGTCTTCCAAATTTTCTTAGATCCCAAACTAAAATGGTTCAATGTATTAGGACAACTCCGAAAATATCACACCGCCATTCGAGATTTCGTTATTTGTAGGAAATATGGTTTGTGGGACCGATCTTCTATACAATCATAAGGAATTAAGATATCTAATATAACCATAGCATTTTCACACCAGTTACGAACCGCTTGAAAACCAGAAAGTTGATGAGGGGAAATGGCAGGGGGAAGATGTACCCAAACCTTGGGAGGAGCTAGACCCTCATTTTGAGGTAGAAGAAGACCAAAAAGAATTTTGGATCTTTGTGGTCATTCCGTATCTCATTGCAGGAATTGTTTTGTTTTGGTACATGTCTGGGGGTGCCGGCACCCTGTAGTGCCTCCAGATACCTTAGTCAGGTATACCATCACATGAGGATTTTTGGAATCTCTGCTTCACTATTTCCAGAGCTCATGTCATATTTTCATTATTAACAAAGCCTAAGGATCTAATTAGCTGCTACCTTATTATAGCACTATACCGATTTTAGTCCCAGTCCTACCAATTTAGCCTAACTAGTTGTATTGTCCATGACTACTTTGGATCGTTGATATAGAACCGCTCAATCAACCATCAGATCCATTGTACGCACTGGATCTTGGATATATTGAAATACCGGAGATGAACGTTGTAACGCATCAATATAAGTATTCAAGAAAATCTTCAAGCTCGGCAAAGCCAATAGCATCTAGTACGGTTGTAGCGATTGTCCTCGCATTGATTCTGCTCGCAATTGTTTGTTATATCATCTTTAAAAAGCGGAACGATCTTAGCGGGATTTATAGGTATAATTCTGATCGGCAATGCTAGACAATCGCATTCTTTTAGCTTACTAGCATCCTTTTAGACGATTTGGAACACCAAGTCTACGTACTTCCGCCCACAGGCCCGCAGATAAGAATTACCCCGCAGACGTACATCCGCCTGTAATTACCCATCCCCAGTCCCGGGCGAATACCAATCATCTCGTCGATGTCGATTTGGATCCATCCACAGATGGACGTCATGGACCGGCCGACCCAAGATCTCTACATCGGCAAGGCACAAGATTTAACTGATACGCGGGCATAGCACAACTATAATCCCACCGGGGTTAGCAGTCACTGAACTGTCGTTATGTATAGCGTCTAACCGCTAACAATGACAGGGGAGAGCAGTTGCGTTTCCGTTCTGCCTATGTTAGTAAGAAATGAACGTCATATGATATTCCTGATGAACCAGCACCGTGGATCCTTCAGCTCAGTGCCCCCCAGTCCCGGCACCACCTTCGTGGATATTGAGCATATAAGCCTAGCCTAGCCACGAACAACCGAAGAATAAATCACCTATAAATTGGGAGTGTTTCCAAGTTCCGAAGTTTCGCGGCGTAATCGGACAATATATATCACTAAAGACCGCAAACCGCCAAAGCCACCCAAAGATTCAGCCCTGAAGCCTGAAAAATAATAGAATTGCATACAAAGATTGATTGGAATTTTGCTTTGTATCTATAAGCTTTAATTACATGAAGATAAAAAGTAAAATCGGATTAGTGAATATAATTTAGAAAGGGTGAAGATAGAAAGAGCGTGAAGGGCCTGGTATAAGGGAAATGATTGATGGGCCTAGTTATCGACGTTGCGAAATAATATAAGGTGACCTGGCGTCTGGTGCTCTACCTATTTTCCATACTCAGTTAGTCGGTTTGCTTCTTGCATGAGACTAAAAGTGGGACAGGAACAATTTACGACTTACCGCCTACAAGAAGCGAGGTCTAGCTTCAGTTGGGCGATCTCATTTTTTCTGAGTAAGATACTCTGCTTCAAGGTGGCATTTAAAACCTTGTATTCTTCGTTGAACATCTTAGTTTTCTCTAGATTCGAAGCCTTCTCTTTCAGAAAGGTAGTGTATCGTGATATTGGATAACGAAAGCCTTTCCATCTGCGAATAGCCACCCGTTAGAATATTACTTGACTGTGTATTTGCCACTCGGGAGCTTTATAAACCCACATCAAGTTGGATAATCGTTTCTCTAGTAAAGAACTGGGGAACCGGTTTTCGGTTTTATCGTGCATAGAGTAAATAGATTGGTTGGTAATTGAAGAGTCTTGAAGCTGGAAGTAAACTACGTTTTAATTACGGGTATTAGTTTGTTGAGTTTGTATATATGCCACCCAGTTTGCGGGTGTTAGGAAAAGTTCGAAGTGAGTCGTACAGCCGGAACTGTAGAGAGCCTACCAGGATAGCCTTGCGAAATCCTAAAACAGATACTGGTTGAGGATTTGTCTCAAATCAGACTTGCCACTCCGTGAGGATCATTAAGCTTAATTGTCGGCCTAGATCTCATCTGCGGGCCGTGGTGATTCTTAGTTTCTATATCTAGGGAACTCTCATCACACCCTATAGACCGAGTCCCGGTATCGTTCTCAGATCTCACACCCCGACACAAACGCAGATGTGAATATAGGCCTGCAAGTCGAACTAATCTCGCTACCCGCTGTTTGATCACCCTCTAAATCCACTTTCGATTTAGCCAGTCTGTATTTTCAACCCACCAGGAACTGAAGAGTAGAGCGCTTCATCTGCTTACTTGCTTTTGCTTTGGATCTATAAAGAAAGACTACACTTCCATTCCCAACCTCTGTCTCCTTAAAGAGTGTTATATCGACATCTGTATCATATATACTTTAGTCTTTGCACGTTTACTACAACCTATCTCCAAAACTTCCTTGGTAAGATTGAACCGTTCAATTCTCTAAGTTCAATACTTCAATCGCTAATATTCCTGAGGACGATATAGTATCCCGGGCCCGAACTCAAGCGAGATAAATAATGGCTTCTCACAAGCGTTCTGTCTCGGACTCTGATATTCTTCTTCGCGGGAAGTGGGCATACGGTGCATCTTTGTCTAGGGACCTAGGCCAACACCTTCCCAAACCAACTCGCTCTATTATCAAAAAAAGAGGTCCAAAGAGGTCCACCGGCCGCTCAACCCATAGCCGCAGCATAACAAACAAGTGGAAAGCTTTTGGGTTGACAGAAAGCCTTCTCCAACGGACCATCCGGTCTGGCTGTAATCAAGGAATACACCACGAAGATGAATCTGGTCCGCCGGAGATTCTGTCTGCAGCTTTTGGGCTCCTGAAAATGCAAAAGGAAAAAGATTATATAGTTTTGGACGTAGATCCGACTGTAGAAAAGACGCCAATGGGAGGGATGAGCGCCAAATCGTTGGGGCATGCTCTTGACCCTGAAAATGCTAAGAGACCAGTCCTACTCCTCTTTGTGTCTGATCTCGGCCGAGAAGCTGGCTTGTACAAGTGATGCGTGTTCATGCTGCAGCTCGTACTAGAGAAAGGTAGGCCGCATCCGTGGAATTAAACTTGAGACACGAGAGATTAAGAATACTGCACAGCTCTTATTTAACCCTATTTCTTACTGCATTGAGGCGAATACCGGCAATTGATATCGATTTCGATTGGTCAGGTTTTACGCCTATATAATGCAATAGAAATTGATATGACGAAGATAATATACAGGTTGGTGTGTCTAAAGTTTTTTCCCATACCTCAGCTGTCTCAACTCCCCATCGAGTTCTTAGCGTCTTTCCTCCACCCTTCTTACCCTCGGGGAGCTTCCCTTGAGCTCTCCAGGCTTTGATTAATCTCGGCTAGTGGCTGAACCACGTCTTCGAAGGCGTTCTCGTATCTTGGCTTTTGCCAATTCTTTCGCTATCGGTTTTGCGTATAGACCGCTGTTATTGAATCGTAACGTTGTTACCTGGTCATGGAGCCAAGCCGAGGAAGCTATAGAAACATCTATTGTATAGTCGCGAAACATTTGAGGAATAGATGGAGGTTGAGAGTAAAGTATTCCAGGAATGCTGCAAATACCCATTGCGCAGCAACTGAGTGTGAAAGTGTAAAGATCTGTTCTTTGCGGTCAATTGAGAGGTTCTCAAGCGCCGTTAGATATCGTTGCTCGAATTCAATCAGAAAACCATTCTGGCATGTAACTAGGATTTTGAATTATTAGCTTTAAGCACTGCTGAAAAACTGATCTCAGGTTGTATATGGCTGGTAATTTAGGGTAATCCGAGACTAGGGAAATCTTTCACTTTAAGTTATTTTTCGTTTGAGCCTGCAACGTCGGCTATCGGAGCCAATACCTTGACAGGTCCGACTTGGCCATAGAGGCCTAGCAGCACTGAGACGGCACCAGCTCCATCAAACACCTGACCCACCTTCTTGATCTTGACCCGTCTTAACCCACCTTAACACCCCCTGACCCGTGAATCCAAGCCGAACTAGGTCCAAATACGACAAAATTTCGATATAAGATAAAGCCGGAATCAAGCATACTAAGGCGGAAAGAATCATGTCCCTTAAGCTTGTTGGCTCCCCTTACTTGCCTATCTTTACTCCTATTTTAAGAGGCTTTCGCCTTCCCATCAAAATCCCTAGAAGCCCCGAAACAAATCAATGTCAATACTCAATACAAAGCATCATGGAGCAAGAGTTGATAAGCGTCATCATTGCGGGCGTCGATGCCCTCCGAGGTCCAATTCGATTCGGTCAGATTATTTTGTCGACAAAATCATTACCTAAAACTGTTAAGCTTAGGATTCTCGTCGTCTTTCTCTTTCGTCTGACTGCTTACATCTAGGGCAAGTGGAGCCACATTTTCGCCAAAGTTGCAGATATCATGATGGTCATACAACTTTCTGTTCAGATATTAGCATTGGTAAGCACTACTCACTCGGAGTGCAAACCTAGTTACTTAATTTATGCTTCAGTGCACTTATAAATCAAGAATTAGGTGCCATTGCGTGAATACTTAGGACTTTCGAATTCAGTAATGGCATTAGCATTTGCTACTTCTATGGTACTGGACATCTTAGCTACGCTCTTTAGGTTTGTTGATTCAACAACGTCAACATCTTTTTTTATATTATACTGATGAGTCTTCATAGATGGCTATATCATCGAGTTCTCATTCACGGATGCGGCTACTTCATTATCTCGTCGATATTGCTTCATTCGCTTTGCTTCCAGTTCCGAATCACTCTTCTCAACAGCGCGAGGTACACAATATTCAGTTTATATATTAACAAAACTCTGTAGATTATCAAGAGAGTACAAACATCAGGATCTGATAAAGAATGTTTATGTCAGGATGTATTATAACATGCCATAGCTGTATCCTGCGCCAACCGTAGAATTTCTAGCTCGGGTAAAGTTTCGATCCAAATGGTGGCAATCTTTGTCCCAGAGGAGTTAAGAATTAGTCTTGTGGTGTGAAAGCCGTAGCTAACTTCGATCGGACACCCCTTGGCTGCAAAATAGATTGGCTGGCTAGTCTCTTTGTCTTACGGGGGTTTACTGATTGGCGGGGGTCTCTCTTTCGTATCTTAGCCGCAACACCCGTGCATCTTTGTAGATAAGTCTTAAAATGGTCTGTAGATTGGCCGCTCCGCGGACTTTCAGATATGTTGCGGGATATTAGTGGCTCGGGTTGCATGGTGTCGATAGGAATAGTGAGCTCTTTAGCCACTCTAGTATGTGTCTGCCAAATCGATGGAGCCTGGGGGTGCTCGAGTAATCTTCCTTCAATAGAATGCTTCGGCGGTAATTCTCTGAGGATATTTAAAAAAGGTGGGTTTCGGCTATGTATAAAAGGGTTATGAATAGCTAATTGGAAGATGAATTCGAAACAGGAAACATGATCCCCAGGGTTGAAAATTTTGAGGAGCCCGAATTTCCGAGGGTAGTATGTGTCGGCCATAAGAAAGTTTTTGATAGTTATCGTAGCTTTTTCGATTCCAAACCGCTGCATATGGGCATCATCGTATTTCTGCGACGTAATAGAGTAGTTGTCGATAGATTCGCTTAGGAAATCCGCGAGAAAGCGCCGAAGTTCGCTAATTTCTTCTTCAGTTGGCTGAAAGCAAGGAAGTTTTTCTGTGGAGATCTGGTCTGGGCGGAGGTTCACGGAACTCTTGAGTGGGATATTGTAGGCATTACATAGGCCTCTAGCCCATATGAGGTCGATTGGTTCCGTAAGCCAGTTCCCGCCGAATTTTTGAGACAACTGTGCGAAGATCCGTTTCCCAGCGGCGGCGACGTGCTTTATAGTAAGGTGTAGATCGACAGATAGAGCTAACCAGACGTCAGCAAACGTTCGGCGCGCAAGAATATAATTTAGGTTGTCTGTAGTTTTAGTCTTGCGGTCTGAGGTGCTCATGATGGGAGTTATGGGACGGGTTGGTTTGTAAGTTGAAAAAAAAAAAAATGTGTAATAGAATGAGTTGGGCGGAGGTGATATGAAAGATTTATGGGCGTGTATACGGGTAGAAAATGATGGGATTTAGAAACAAGGCTTAAGGAAAAGGGGTAAAAGGTTAGGAATATATTCGTTCTTCGATCTATACTGATCCAAAATGAAGTCACGCCCGACACATCCCGTGCCACGGCTCAGCGGCGCCCTTGCATATCTGGTATTCACTGGGGTAATATACCGCGGCCTAGACTTCGAAATCCCGGGCCGACCCCGAAGATAAATCAAGTTGAGCCTATAATATTCACCATGACAGCCACTCGGCTCCGAAAATACGGAAGATGTGTGAAATTGATATTGCAACCTCTTCATGGCTTATATCATGAAACTGGGCGCCTAGCGGGTATAAATTCACCTATATAAAGATGCACAAAGTAAACTTTCGACCCGGACTAAGTGCTCCGAGGTGTTAAATTTAAGATGTACCCATTCTTTCTGCAAGTCTTTTTGATTGCAGGGGCTGCCGTAAAATGAGACCGTGCCCAGTCATTACATCTACGCTCGTGAATGGGGCATGCATACCTAGTCGTACGGAAGGTTGCAATTGCGACAACAATGTTTCCACATATATGGATATAGCGGGTGGTCTTGGTGTTCTCCATGATAGTGGTCGCGGAAAAGCGAAAAGCGTGGATCTAGATACCTCGCATTTTTAGGAGTGAAGGTCGTATCACAGAAAGCGCATGATAAGGGACGCGAAGCTTGTCGGTAGTGATAAAGATTGACGTGATGCTTCAAGAGCACCTCGTCGTCAAAGTAGTCGGTGCACACATGACATACATAACACTTGCCCGAGCTCTCCGTAATTGCTAATTGCTGTTCTTCATTGCTAGAGGGGTGTTCAAACTTTCACCGGGAAGGTAGACGAAAGCTGTCAGGGCTACCTGAATGGTTGAACGGGATTTCTACAATGGCACATTTGGCAACCTTAACCTAGCCAATTTAGGTGGGATGCGCTCGAGGAGAGCAAACACAAATCTACAATGCATAAGTTATCCAGCTACCCTTGCATGAACGCCCGCATGCCAGCCATGTTTTCTTTGATGCATGGCCTGGTAAATGCTACTTTAGATCCTTAGCGTTTTCGTGGTTTGAACAATGCCCCGGTCGGTTCCCTCAACCTCCCTCAACCTTCTTTAATCTCCCTTAATCTCCCTCAACCTCCCCTGGTTCTTATCATATCAATGCAATTTCCATCACTGCTATACCCATCTCAAGTTTGACACATTCATGGTTGCCCGTGGTACGGTAAACCTTCATTTTCTTATCTAGATCCACCAAAATTGGCGCATCAGCTAATCTAAACGTTTAGGATTAGTTAATATTAAGTTAATAGCATTTGCTAATATATTAGTAAATAATACCATTAATCTTTTCTATAAGCTCCCTAATTTAAAATTTGGACTCGGGTTCACCGTTATATATCATGGAAATCCCGAGGTCGCATCCATCCTGATTAAGCACGGCGCGGATATTGAGGCATTTAGTTTACGGCTTGAATAACGGTATAGGCTTATTAAACCTGAGGCCGAGTGATGCTTAGGTATGTTTCGAAGACCGGTATGGTTATCTCAAGGTTTGCGAGTTTGTCCCACAGCGGTAACTCACTCGTAAGAATCATATAACCTTATACAACTTCCCCAAATATTTTTTTAATCAAAAAAATATCCTAAAAATATTATTTTAAGAAGTTTAAAATTTTAATTAATTTTTTTTTATTATTAGAATAGTATTAGAAATTAAGGAATTTTTTACTCAAAAAATGTAATATTTTCTTTTTATTTTTTTTACATCTATTTTTATAAATTTAAATTTATATTATAAGGAAAGTTTCCAATATGTTTCAAAAATAACTGCTGAAAATTCTTTTATTAGGAGTCTGAACTTAACAGCTCCTGAGGAGTTTGGGAACAAGACTAGTCCGGGTCTACCACCCTCTATACGATCGGTCTTTAATGAGGCCGAAGACGATGCCGCAGCTCAACATGATTTCACATCTCTAGATGCGTATTGGCGGGTTCCATCAGGCGGAGTTTGGTTATTCGATTAGCCGGATAAGGCCCCTGTGAGAAAGGTTTTAGATGAACTGTATAGTTACCCAATACAATAATCTCATAAGCTATCAAGGGCCAGTTTGGTTTTTGGATTTCAATTTTTTAGAAAAATTAAAAATTATAAAATCTATTAAACTTCCAAATTTTAACAAAGGGGCAGTCTGTACAAAAAATAAATATATATATTAAACTTATTGAAGTAATCTTTTATTACACAAGAATATTATTGTAAGATATTTCTATTCATTTTATACTATTCTTTTCTAAATATACCAATTTTAGCCTAGAATTTTTTTAAAACTTCCTTAGAATTAGGCAGATACTTGTCAAAAAAGGCAATAATACTTATGAACTAGATCTGGTTATAGAATTGTTCAATTCCGTATCATAAAGTAGTCCACACATTAACCTTTGGATCCTTATACTCTATTCGCTTTCTTCCAAACATAGATATAATCTATGTTGGAACTTCGAGCTCAATGTTTCGCTAATTCACCATCACTACATAGATGAGATCTGGTCTTCATAACGTGGCCCGGTATGAACTATCCAAGTAGCCAACCCTTAGTAACTTGAGGAATACATATGCTCAAACTTACTCACTTGCGGATTCCGAAGGATACCTACTGTATTAATGACTCCATCCGCAGGGATCGGGCTAGCATCGCGAGGTAAAATCCACCCAACTAACTTTATTATTTACTACTACGAACTTAGCTTTTCGTGATATGCAGAGTCCAAAGGATGTTCTCTGGGTTGTCAAAAAGAATCCTAGAATGGTTGTAACTACCAGCTATCTTGGTTTTAATAATATTCCTTATAACCATTGTTGGTGACATTTGGACCGCACCCTACACCCAGCAGATTGCTTTTTTTCTCTTAAGCACACGCCAGGTTATAGCTCTGGCCTTGGAGGACGCTTAGCCGAAAGGCTAGAACAAAAATGGTTTGAATTCGGTTACCCAAGATTCAAGAAGGTCATAGAGCTTCGTAAGATCTGGAGTAGCCGGAAGGTTGAAATAAATGCGACAAAATATCTTGTCAGAACCCTAAGGGAAGCATCAAGTTGTGGGTGCGGGAGAGTATGGGCCCATTTCTTAATATAAATGCGCAAATTTCTCTGATTTGAGGGCTAATTGCGAAGGAAATGCCAATAGGACGACTCTGTCCTACCAAACGACTTTTACATATGGTCAGCAGAGAATGCGCTCAAGGTCCCTGGACATTCTATCGACAATGGACATTCTATCGACAATGGCCGGGGTACCCTTTATTTGTGGTTCGCTCCTAAAAATATAAGAATACTGCCAATAATCACGGTCATAATTACATAGCTTGGACTACATCTATCACCGGAAACTGAGAATGTTTAGAGCTATTATTATCAGCAGGTGTCAACGTCAACGCGGCCACCAAAACCGGCGCAAGACCAGCACACATGGCGGTGTATGGAAAAAAAGCCAAGACACTGGACCTCCTACTACAGCACCTAGGTACTGATAAATACGCAAAAGATAACCAGGGTCTTACAGCCTGGAGACTTTGACAAGAGCAACAGAAGGACGATGGCGAGGTAAGGGAGCAGTTTTTGGATATTTTCCATAAACACGAGTTTCTCGAGGACCGGGATGAGCAGATTGGCACTTTGATTTTTGTGTTGTTGTTGGATTTTGAGTTTCGACGAGACGTTTATCGTGAAACCTAAGTAGAGTTGTGTGCTCAGCATGGGTCCCTGGTCGACAGTACTCTTGGAGCTCCCTATTGTGCCCCGTACTCGATGAGGGCGGTATCTATATGCATCCTGTGATTAATTAGGTCTATTTTATCAATCAAGTTGTAATAGGCTTGAAGATGGACTCTATAGTGCAGTGCCTTACTACTAACATACGTATATACGTATATAGCTATATATATAAACTCAAACATACCAACTAGCCTTAGTGGAACGTCCGAGGCGCGTCTAATGACCTTGGTCTAAACTAGTACCGGTCTTGTTTCATCATGAACGTGCTCAAGAGACTTTGCGCCTCCGGCCGGTTTAACTCCGTTTCCGTCGAGATTGTCCACCTCGATCCGGGAGTTCTACCACCATCGGAGGTCCCTCGTTTTACAGTTGCAAAACATACGCTTGCGTTCGTATGCGCTCCTATGGATCCTCAACTTCCATACGGTACCGGTGTATATGAATACTCAAATCTACTAGAGCCTAAACTCCAAACCATTCACGCAGTCTATACAAGCCTAATAGATTGTATCTTTCGGTTTGAAGCAATGGACATATTGATTAACATCCCGGAATTCACTGTTTATAATACAGTGGATTGTTTATTACGATCGCCTCAGTATCTCCTCGATTGCCACAAAAGCCTTTGCGCAGAAACCAGAAAGTTAGCTGCCGTCGTAGGCCTCGCTGAAAAGTTCGGAGTTCGAATATACCCACGATCTAGATTTGTGCAGAGCAAAACGACGGAGATTTTATATTCGAAAATACTACTGCGATACCTAGACTCTCAGCGGAGGCGGCTGAATAGACATTCATAAGCTGCCCTAAACTTCCATAGCTTAACACACGCCAAGGCCATCAATACTATTCGTGCGATAATTTATCCTTATACTCTTTTGCAGTTTGACCAAGCTTAAAAAGTGGGCTTACCCGGTTGGTGCCAGCCGTAGTCGAAGGCGGTTGGAAAGTTTACTGTAATACCTTTGACGTAGCGTAGTGGATTCCCGGACCGTGGGTATTTGGCCAGACCATTTAGATGGTTGGCAATTATCCCCGAGGCGTTATATAAATAATTAAAAAAGAAACATTAAGTTTAACCATATACGCGCGCCCAGCAGATGGCTAGTGATACAACGATTGAAGGGCGGAGCTATATGCAAGGAATATTAACGATAAAAGGGAGTTTGCTCCATAGCGCCGCATAAGACTCTGCCCTATTGTGCCTCAATTGGTCTTTGTGGTTCAATATGTTAGCCCCTCTTAGCTTGGGCGAGCCCATTTCTTTGAGAAGGTTTTGACCATTAAAGCTCTCGAAACAATACTGGTCGATGTAGTGGTTCTACGTAGTTCGGGGGCCAAAGGACTAGAGGAGAGGAGTACATAGAGCCGAAGGTAGTTTATGACTTAAGACTCCATAACATTATGGGATTCATAAATAATTTCGAAGCCTTACCCCAGTATGAGGGGGTATAAGAATGCACTTCTCTATAATCCCATAATGCAACAGCCTCAGCATTTTCAGTCTAGAAAGCTAAAAAAAAAAAAGAATATGTCTTACAATGGACCAAAGTTGTTGAAAAGTCACGGACTACTATTGATATTTATATTAAACCATGACACCAACAGTTATACACAATATATTAATATATAGTGACATTTTTAATATCAAAATTACTATAAATATGATAATGGCAATACAAACCAGGGTTACACCGAATATCCCACAAATAACTCTCCAGTCAGGTATCCCTTCAGCCATCGTCAGCTAAAGAGCGTTCTTCGCTACTCATGAAGCACCTTACCCTACCCTCCTCTAAATCCAGCCACTCCGGAAGTGTCATATACATCATTAGAATCGAACACAGATTAGCGCGTTTTGAGATACAACTGTATAAAGCGAGCAACTCTTGGCTGCGCTTGTTGCTGTAGGCTTGTCTGGACTTTGGAGAATATCTATAAAGAGAAAGGACGGTGTCTCGTTGATGGAAGTGGGCGCACATTCTGATGAATATTGCACAAGTGTGGAGTCTACAGGTTTGTAGCGATACTAATATTAAACTTCCCACCGTATTTCAAGAGGTAAATGACAGAGTTCCTGGTACTGACAAGGGAAGGCTTCCACAAGACTGGTAGTCCATAAGTACTACTCTCTCAAATGCCTTTGACCATCTTACCCATGGGTCGCCGCACCTCGGCTGGAGAACGACCGTTTGATAGACCTGAGATCTATGTCGACCATTTTGGCAAAACCATTTACCCCATAGTATCCAAGGTATTCCCATTTGATCCATCAGTAATATCATCCATCTAGTTCGTGTGAGATAATGCATCACAATACCATCCCCTCCCCGATCAAGAAAGTCGTCTTCAAACGTGCCCCTTGGGTTTGAGGAGTCATGATCGTAAAGGAAAACCTGTGGTTGATCTTTCCGATGTTGATATTGTGTTCTTAGAACCCTTTTCCGTCTGTCGGGACCCGGACGCCACAAGGTGGAAATAGATTCTCGCTTCTGAGGTTTATCAACTTTAGGTGGGAAATCTGTTGCATGAAGAGCAATATAAGCTTCGACGCCCCCATGAAGGGCGTAATCATTCCAAAAAATATTATATAATATCTTTGATGCCCGGGCTAAGGAGAAACGGTTGTACGGTAGTGTCAAAATCCCTGGTTGGGGCGAGAGATCTAAAAGCTCCCCAATATGGTAAAGAATTTCGTAGGGTAGCTCCTCGAGCTTTCTCTCCATATATTCTTTTAGAGTTCTTGGACTTGGATACCTAGCTTCTCTCAAATTGGTATACACGGGCCTGTTTAATAGTTTAAACATTTCTGTTATCCTTGATAACTCATGCTTGTTTTGGGCGGCTCATGCTTTGGGACAGAATCTTTTGGGGCCCTACAAATTCTACAGGCAGCCAGAAAGCACGAAATGGTAGCTTTTAGGTCTATTCTTTGTCTGGGCACGCCCAACGCACAAATATCCTCCCCAAGATAGAAAGCCGCTCCCTTAAGGCCTTATTTAAACAGCTCCCAGAGCTCCCAGATTAGTGAGCAATGCCACTTAGGCCACCTCGTACCTCGTATCTTCCGCAGATACGGTCATAATTCCTTATTTATGTTCAACCCTCAGCTCTGTATGCATAGATGCTATATAATATATTACAAGGTTTTGAGCAAGTGTCCATAATATCAATGACAAAGCGATTCTGGGTAACAACGTTCACCGCGATCTCGCAAATATCGCAACTACACTTTATTAAATGTGCTCCTACAGGGAATTTTGGGCCCTCCTATACTAACGGTCAGCTCCAATGCGATATACCAACCCCAACCTTAGAAAGCGCCGCCCCATCGGCCACTGCACAGTGGGGTGGTTTTCGCACGGTTGGATACTTCACTAATTGGGTAATTCCTCAGCACTGATATTTTTAAATGTGTTAAATATTATAATAATTAACCTTCCATGCTACTATATTTCGCAGGCGGTGTATAGAAACTTCACGGTACAGGACATCCCTTTCAATTATTTTACTCATATACTATACGCCTTCGCCGATATAGACCACGCTACAGGGGAGGTCAGACTCACCGATCAATACGCTGATATAGATGTAAAGACCCCATCATATAGAATACTGGGGGTTATTACAAGCCCCAGGCTAATCAATATAGATGCGCTTTGAGGGGGATGGCTTGGAAAATGCTGCTCATAATTTGTATGGGTGCTTGAACCAGTTATGGAAGCTCAAGAAGACCCAAAGGGGTTTGAAGGTTTTGCTCTCTATCGGCGGTTGGACGTATTCGCAGGGCGGAGGCTTTTCACAAGGGTGCGATTCAGCCGGCAAAAGAGAGACATTTGCTTTGTCGGCAACGAAGCTAGTCAAAAATATGGGATTCGACGGGTTAGATCTCGTGGGTTATACGGCCGCCCCGCTACTTTTTTTTTCTAACTAACACTCTCTGACTAGGATTGGGAATATCCTCGGTATATTCCCCCATATCAGCAGTAGATAGAATCAGAATTTTTCAAAACGAGCTAAAGGGTTTCAATCAATGTAGTACTGAAACCGAGAAGAACCATTACGTGGATCTTCTTGCACAGTGCCGTCGATACCTTGACGAACTGGGGGACGGATACGAACTTTCAGTCGCGGCGCCTAGCGACCCTCTCAATGTATCAAATCTCAATCTGCGAGAAATGGACCGATTCCTTGATTTCTGGAACCTTATGGCTTATGATTTCGTTGGGGGGTGGTCTACAACCGCCGGGCACCAAGCCAATCTCCATCGCGATCCTGGAAACTCCAGATCAACGGGATTCTCCGTTGATGACGCTTTGAGACTGTACAGTTCCATTCCTAGCTACAAATTAGTCTTAGGAATGCCCATGTACGGTCATTCCTTCATCACAGACGGCCCGGGTGAGGTGGCCCAGCCCTATAGCGATCATGATCGTGGTACGTTAATATTTGAATCCAAAGTTTTTCAATTTCTGATGTGTTACACTATTGACTTCTGAAAAGTATGGAACTATAAGGAGCTTCCACCTGATGGTGCGACAGAGTATGTTCAGGAGGATATAGCCGCTTCTTGGAGCTATGACCCTGCACGTAGACTCTTCACCTCGTACGATAACCCTAGCATCGCGAAATTGAAAGCAGAATATATCATAAACAAGAAACTTGGCGGGGCTATGTGGTGGGAAACTAGTGGTGATAGGAAAGATGAGAGATCTTTAATCATGACAGTTGTTGAACATTTGGTAAGTTCTAGGGTGAAAGAAAGCTTCCCGTTCCAAAGTGCTAAGAGAATATCAACGGATAACAGGGGGTCGGGCGCTTGGATAGGAAAAACAACCACCTAGCCTATCCATATTCGGAGTATGAAAATATTAGAAATCAGCGGTAGTATCTAGATTGGTAACTTTAATACTAGGCACAGGAGAGGGGGATCTTTGTTATTGAAATATGTACATTGCCTTCACTCTATAGATTCATACAGCCCCGACACTGATTTAGTTCATATGTTATATCACGGGCTGCCGAATGGATGGGACCTGTTTGTTGCTTGTTACGTTTTAACTGCGGGTGGCATATATACCCGCAGCAGACCACGTCTGGCTTACGAGACAATATAGAACGGTCTCAGGTTACCCCCCGGGGCGGCTTATAGAAATCTAGACTAAGATAGATATGAATCACTTACATTACCACTCACAATAACCTCGCCCTTGGAATATGACTATACGGTCGAAATATATAATATCCATCTAGATACACTAGAACTAAAAAAAGGGGGGGGAACAAGAAATTATCTCGCAAAAGGCCGAGGGATGTTATCAGAGAGATAAGCATTTAGGAGTCACAGCAATACGTCGAACCTTTGGTTGACGGACATTAATGCTACCCAGCTGAAGAAAGTAGCATCCTATCTGTACAGCCGACAGTCATGCTATGCCATGGGGCCAAATCTTGTCCTGCTAGCTTAATCAAGCCCTGGTTCCCAATTTGGAACAGGTAGAACCGTGTCAATGGCTTTGCAAAACCGTCTAAACTTGGAAATGTCTATTTTTGGTTTCGCATAGCAAATATGGTAAACAGGGATCTAGAAACTCGCTTAGTAGACATTCGCTACGCCTTTGATGCGGTGTTGATTTGGAGAGGAAGACGATAAGTCGAGCCTTGGTGGGGTTGTACACTCGTAATCTAGGTATGCCGAGATGGAACTCCAACCTCCAACTTCCCAGAATACAATTACAAACATAGATTTATTCTACTACAATCGCAATAACAACAAAAAATTATAAGAGACAATGAAGTTTATAAAATTGTAGTTTTTACTATCAAAACTACTTGCTATTTTAAACCAGGAAATTATATAAAATATTATTAAATAGTACAATATAAGCCCAAAGATACAGTAAACTTATATATAGGAATCGTAAGTAAATTAGAAAGAGTTCAAGAAATTAAAATGAAAGTTTTATATATTAATCAAGAAGTTCTAGAATAAGCAATATAGAATATATATAATATTCTACTTCTATAATATTCTACAATTTTTATTGCAAATTTTACTAAACATTTGCTAAAATTTACAAATATAAGGAACCTGTATATCACATTATAAAAATTGAAAATCTTAAAGATAGTAAACTCCTTTGATAGATCAAATTGGATAAAATTGCAGGTACGGATAGGGTACTTAAACGAGAAGCTTAGGCTTCACCTTACGTTGGAGGCAGCAGGTAGTTGAAGTGAATATAATGTTCATATAATGCTGAGGGACTCGGAGCAAACATTCTTAGAGTTGAAGTCAATGTATACAAATACCCACACTCTTTTGTAGGATTGAGCCACATAAAGTTCAGTTTACCAGCTCTCCGACCATATACTCCACTTGCTATAAATTCTACCGCAGACTTCGTAATAGTTTCTTGTGTATCTACGATGATGGTGAATCCCTCGCATATTCTATAAGCTAGGAATTCTCTCAGAACTCTTTAATTTAATCATTCTTGCATACGTGCATGTGCACGTATATGGCGTGCACAAGTACACGGTTATAATACGCAACATCGTGTTGGTGTTCGTGTTAGCTCTTCATTACCCAGAGGTTGACGCCACAGGTTGTGGCTGATTGAACGCCTCCCACGTGATATTTGAGTTTCACATTGAATACAAAGCTCACTGAGCTCGTACGGGAAGTCTACTCAAATATATATAAGAAGAATGACCGCAGTAAACCAATCGGTCGGTCAGAAGTATTAGACGATCAATCGAGATTACAACATCTTCCGAATGCTACAGTCATTGTGGCAGGACCCCCAAGACCGAATCTCAGTTAAGGTTACTTGCAACTTCCAAGCTAACGTCCCCTAAAGCAAGTCACATCCCGATGGAGTAGGCACCCCATTTCGTACCTGATATATATTGGGCGTCCCATGGACGACATATACACAGTGTATGTTATGTGCCAACGATGTTTTTTGGTATAGTCCAGAATTTGTAAATATCTATACCTGGCTTTAATTTCTCACTGGTCCGAAAGCGGCTGGAGCTCTAAAAGGATGCCATACCGGGGGGGGATTAACTTTCCTCTGTGAGGATATCGGTTTAGCTATGCTAGGGCACCAGTCTACCTTTAATTTCATCAGCAATCTCATTTTACAACACTGGCAACACACAAGCTAAACGAATAGCTCTACCTACCGGTCTGGCTGTAACATATAAGATCCCTACTCGATAGTTAACATTTTCGTAATTGAAAAAAGAATGGTGACTTATGAAGCTTGAGGTGTCCAGATGCAAGTACAGAAGGGCAGTCACCAGGCTATGATACCAAACCATACTAAACCCCAACATTATAGTCATATATACTTCTGACAAGAGCAGTTGCCCAATATACAACATGCTGATGCGCTGTTTATCCTGTACTAGCTAACTACAGTCTGCAACGGAGCGATGAAACCGTCTTAGTTCTTCCGACGCTAGAATGCTGGGTAAATCATTTGGGCTATCTAGCGGCCAACATAAGGCTATTTTGGAGACGAGAAGGAATTCGGGAGCATGTAAAATGAATTTAAAAGGTGGATAATAAATTTAAGTAGTATATATAAATATTTAAATGTCTTTGAATGAAGAACAAATATTGGTTATTAATGAAAGGAAGATGTAGTTGATTTTTGGAATGGTTATTATAAATGAATTTGTAATGTAACACTAATTAGAGGAGTGTTTGTGAGAGAAATTTATGTAAAGTATGGCAGATAGCGCAGCATTGGAACGTTTGATTAAGTTATTGCTGATCAAATGACGTATAAGACGGCCAAATTTCTGATATGAGAGGTGAAAGATCCAGATGGTTCTCAAGCCAATGCTCCTTTAGGGTTTCTGATACTATGTCTTTCGTGGCGTCGGTAGAGGTCCTGAAGCCGCACAGAGGACAGTAGTAAATCTCCGTATGTTCCAAATAATAATGTTGGAGCTGTGATCTATCATCACTAAAAGTTCGGGGACAACCTGGTTGAGAGCATGGAATATCGTCTGCCGTTATTGCCAGATAGATTAGAAAACCTTAACTTAACGAAAAACATGTATAAAACATTTTATATGTATACCAGTATCAGGATATCCGGACGACAGGACTTCTGTTGAGCAGTCGGAATCGTATTCTGCGTTATCAAGTGGTGCCACAGTAGTGTCGATCTGCATAACTCGAGCCGTAAGCAGTTCGATCTTGCGTTTGAGCTCGGCGTTACGATTTCTTAATTTTTGATTTTCAGTCAGAAGTCCCCTCCAGATCAGTATCGCATCTATCAGCTTCATCAGGTTGCTATGAGCAAAGTTACAATTAGTCAGTCATTTCTAGGGTAGTTAGTAAGGCAGTGATATTTAAGCTTACATGTATTGACGAGGTTGATTTTCAACCCTCATTATTGGGAAAGGCGGATTCACTATGTAAATCTTTCGACAAGAAATAAACTAGAATACTGGGAGCTGATAGAGATGGAATGCAGTGGATTTCAAAAACAATTGGGTATTGGCCCCTAATTTATAGACTGTTAATTCTTTCACCATTGGCAGTGGTAAATTGCGTGCGTTGCCCTTTCGGTCAGTTGCAGCGACCAGACTCGGATCAGATGGGGTAAATACGACGAGGCGCTAGCCTAATATACCACGGAACGTAATGTTGTTTGTTTCTAAGGTTTCGGCCTAGGATGTACAACAATTACATGCACGTTCAAGATACGTTTGGAGGGAAATTACTCATTAGTTCTATCATGAACTAGAGCTAGAGTTTCCACGATCAACAAGGAGGATACAAATCTTCATGCGCAAGCTATAGCTATGGCATGTTCTAATATATCTTCACATCATGTTTATACCCTCTTAATAATATAGAGTTTTGCTAGTCTATAGATGGGATATTATTTGTCTCCGGCTTCAATGCGAAGCCCCTAAGAAAACGTTCATTGTCGCCCGAACTATGTGCCTTGGGACCGTCTCGAGTCGTCGATTAAGTCTCGGCGACCTAACTTATCTAGATGGTCGTATAGTGATCTTATAGAATTTAGCTCGAGTACGAAATTTAACTAGGTGGAAAACTCGGCCCTGGGTCAAATTAAACATGTACCCAGAAAAGGGAGGTTACTGCGATAAGGTAATCATTTTGATGGTGTGAGGTATTCAGGATTTGTGTGTTGCTTGTTGCATTTTTCTGTGAGATCGGTGGCCGACCGCTTTCGTAAGAAAGCAGATGTACCCTAGTAGGCCGCCTTTTATTTGATATATTACTGGCTTTGGTCCGACGAAGTTCCAAAATGCTACTTCAATTTCCTATTCTAAGGATTGGGGAAAAAAGAGCTTGAGAGGTGCTTTGCAAATAGTGCTATGGTGCAATTCGTTCACGGGCTCGATTCACATATACTGATTTACAAGGTTGGCGCCAGCAATGGTGGCTGACCAAACGCCACACAAGCTTTCAGACTGCGTAAACCTGATGGGCGAGGCCATTCCTGCTTGCCCAGCCATCCTAAAAATGGCTTCTGCCTGAAAGAGGCTTACTTGAGTTAATCAAACGTGTGTGGTTATACAGTAGCTAGGCTACCAGTTAGGCCGTAAATAGCCAGGTTAGTAAATAGTTAGGCGATAGATGACCAGGTCAACGAGATCAATAAATAGCTAGACTAGTAATTAGATTAACTAGTACATAAACCACCTGTAGGTAAACTGACGGCTCTAATTAGTAATTAGTACAAATAAAGTAACAAGTAGTTTCATCTGACGAGGGGCTGGCTGCAACCCAATGCAAAGTCCTCACGCCGGGGGGGGGGTTAAATCCCCCCTTTCAGTCGAGCACAGAGCTCACCTCGACAGGAAGTCGCCGAAAAATATCTTCTCTTCCAGAATTTATATATAAAGGAGGACCGAGGATGTTACTCGGTCAGAACAGATGAATAGAATTAATCATTACAACGGGAAGTCCACAAAATACAACATCCCGTATGTGTTGTTTTCCCGGTGTCTGTATGTATATAATCGCCTGGTATGGGATGAGTTCTCCTTCGTACTCTTTGTGGAATGGGACCGCTCTAACTCTTCCAAACTCGAGATGCAAAATGTAAACTACTAATCTATATAGTAATTACGGGAAGGATAGCCCCCACCAAGCTAAATTTTACTCCATGCTTTGTGAACTGTTGAGTCATGTAGCCAGCCTCTCTCAGGGGCGAATACAAAACCTTGCGGCTACTGATAGATGCGGAATATCGATATTATTAATTCATCTGGCACCCTATTTACCCTCTTTATTATACCAGAGCTACTTAACGGTGGATGTCGTTTGTTAGCAGATCCTGGGTGAGATAGGAAAAACTTCTTATAAAAATTGGGTTATGTTTTACGCTATTACATGACATTAGTTCAAGGATTAAAGTAAGTTCAATCATACTTCTAAATGCTGTCATAGCCACGCTATATATACTGCGGAATCAAAATCCGCTATGATCATTTGCTAATTGAAGGGCCTGATTATGCCGTCTTCAATGCTGGTCGCCAAATATACTAGTATCGAAATGAAGCACAGAGAACTCAGATTTCCGGATAACAAACTATGATATATCTAATTGATAATATGTCACCAGCAATACCAACGGTCATGCATTTTCTCGTACCCAGACCTGGAGCGGTCATGCATGTTGATACAATCGGCTATCGGTAACATCAATCCGTTTCATACTTAGATCCTAACAATGGAAAATATCAGCTGCCAGTGTATCGTAATCCACCGAAGGAGGACCGAATTGGGTACAACTGGGGCTAAAAGAGGCAGTTTTTGATTTACATTTCATTCTGATCGCCCCCGACCACCATACTACTAGCTTAGAGACAGGCTGGTTTAATAACATGAATATTAGTTTGCAAACCAACTTATAAATCAGCCTCTAAAATATTTGGGTAGTTAATCTGACCTCAAATAGGTTGAGTGGTTACCAAATGTAGCTCAGAAATTTACTTTTTTGTTCAGTACATATATAAACGCTTTTAATGTATTTGGGACACCATAGTTCCAAACATCATAGAGAGCGCAGATTATATATTTATATATTTGGGAATGTTGATCATGTATTGGATAAACTATTCTAAAGATTTTTTTATTTTTATTGAACATCAAGTCCTTTGAATAGATCGTCCATTGCTGCCGAATTAAAGTGTCGGTTATGCGGATGAGCTAACAGCGGGGAATATCCTTGTTGCTACCTGATAAATTGTTCTGGTTTCCCATGCACGAGCTGAAAGTGTTGAGATTCTGCGAAATAAGATTCGAAATTCCGGTTACAACCTAGTTGCCTACAACAGACGGGACCCACTAAAAAGTCAGATTAGTTGAATAACCATGTATGTATGACTATAGGCGAACTTACTTCCTCTAGCTATTTCAATCAAACTTTGGTCCATGGGATGAGTGCTAGCAGCTCTTCCTACGCTCACTTCACCGTAGTGTAATGGGATTTGGGAAGGGGAGATATTGGTTTCGGATGTAGGAGCAATTTTTTGTAGTTTCCTACTTTCTAAAACCCGGCCCGAAGATTGTTCTCTTCTATTTGGTTTTGCGAGTTTTGATAGCGTCCGCTTTTTATGGTTCGTACTACCCCGCCTAGTAGTCATCAGCAATGACTCCTTATAAGGTAGTTCTCTATCGTTTAAAATGTAGTTTATGGACATTTTTCCTAGGATTTTGTCCTGTTTACTTTTGAGAATTTGTGGTGATGGCATTATTTGATGATATTTGAGTTGTGAAATATGCTTAGGAAGAAAGACTTGTAATCGGGGTTATCCCCAGCATTATATAGACTGTACTTATGTGTATATTTATTCTTATTTTACAAAGGGCTACCGGCTGAACGGTGTTTCCATTGAAGACCATGTAGGGGGTTAGAGTGACCACCGGGTCCGGTTTCGTATCTGTATATCTAGGCAATGCAGTGAGAGAGATTCTAAACTCTGTGCCTATATAATATTACCAATTTTTGATAGGCCCTGAAACCGAGCTGCCAGCTGAGACATGTTCATTTACACAAGGTCTAGATAAGAAGCGGTCAGTTATCTCGAATGAGTTCAAGATCTTTGGCCACCCCTACTTATTCTTGGGCTGACATAGCGGACGATGGTGCTGTGCCCTTGTGCCTGAGCGTCGTACATATAGTACATCTTACTCAATAAAGTTACCATATCCATGCAAGCCCTTCGTTGAAATTTAGATCCCCAAAAAGCCCGACTTAGAATCTCTACTAGAGCTTCAAGTAGGTTCGTTCTACCCGGTTTAAACGGCCCAAATCGGCGCATATGCGCATGGCTACAAGTGGAAATGACTCAAAAGTCCAATTTTCCGTTCAAAATATATACAAACTATGAAAGCCATTCTAGAACCCAGGTTGCGTAGTAAACGGAATTGCATTTCAATCTTTCATTAGCAGTGATACTGCGCAGAAAAGGCTTGTCAAAAGTATCTATGCTTTTATCCGGCCTCGAGACTATAGCTATGGATTTTTTTTTAATTTTTGTCATCTGTTGCCTTGTATTGCTGTTCAAATCGTCTAGAATGGTAGTAGATTAGAAAATCCCATCGTTCCGCCTGTTTCGCGGAATTGATCTTGTAACCCATTTCTTCTTTCAGAATACAAAGTTCCTTTTCGTGAAGTAGAATGCGTCGAACATCAGACCTCGTTTCCCATGTTACTTGATCTTCCCATTTAATTTTAATATAGGTTTCTGGGTATCTCTTGACTTTATTGATAACCTTTACCAAAGTTGGGTCTATCGCTTTAGACCCTTCATCATGTTTGTCGGCAAACGCAACTCCCAATATATCTCGTTGAGCTCTGGGGTTAATGCTCCCACGGGGTATCGCGAGTCTCTCTTTTGGCTTCATCTCTAGCATATAATCATAAATGTAATCCACATTGACTTTAGACCTTCTTTCCACCCGATGTATGCAGCGATCAGGAGGCCCTTGTGCAACAATCGTTATGTACCCCAAAACAAACCCGAATAGCCCAATAACTTTCAAATAAGCCTCCACTCGCCCATCCTCGACAATGTGGACTGCTTTCAAGTTGAGTAGCTGCCCCGATCCTTCCTCTGCCAGGATAGAGGTATGCCAGCCAAAATTTTGAGAGACTGGTCGTAATCCCCATTTGTCTCTTTCGTTGAGATATGCTACTTCAATATCCCTCAGCCTCTTCCGCAGTAAGTTAGCCCCATCCACTCCCTCATTCTTCTTTTCCGTTATCTCTTGATCTGACATTCGCGTATCACTCCATAGAAGCTTATAGCAGCTTGATCTCATTTCATAACTATTCTCATCCCACAACAATGCAAGATTCTCCGCTCCCATTCCCAAGTATTTTTCAGATTCCGACAGCAGGAATTCTTTGTGGTTTCCAGATAGGCGATAACTGTCCCTGATTCTTGAGTCTAAGAGTTTAAGGTGGATTTCCCTTTCAACCTCGCTGATGAATCCGTTTCCGTCTATTCTGCCGAGAGAAGATTTACTTCCAGCCAGAAAGCCTAGATCCTCCGCTTGAACAAAAATATTTAGTTCATCCCTTAACATAGTAAATATAACATATTCTATGAAGACCGGATCATTTGGCGGGTTAGGTTTGACAGTCAAGTCACTTGGACGGGCTAATACATGCTTATTTAGACGTAGTCTCATCGCGCGGTACCGGTGGAACGCGTAAATATTGAAACCTTGATCTGGAAGCCGGCCTCCTGGTTGTAATAAACAATGCCTCCCTGCGGCCGCAACGAGAGAAACCCACATTTTTGCATGATAACTGGAGGGGAGGATATCAAAGAAATCAGTTACTTCCGTCGGTTCTGGTTGCCGCAGTTCCCCCCAGATTTCTTTCCAGTATTTGAGAGCGGCTGGCCGGACGTTTTGTTCATTCGAGGATTGAATCTGAAAAAGAAGGTCTAGCCTAGCACTACGGCGCCCAACGCTAGGATGCATGTCTTCGTAGTAATCAGTTAGAGTCATCCCCCCGCTGTAAATGAGTACTTCCGTCTCAAATCCGAAAGCTAGATGACTATTGAAGATGGCTAGCTGATATAAATATGAACGAGCGCTCGAGCTAGAGAGCACTGCAACTATATTTGGCCGAGCCATACCCAAACCATATTCAGGTAGCGCCCAAATGGAGCTGCAGTCCAATATATAAAATGCTATTTTAAGGTCTCTAGCGTGGTGCTCTACATAAGAAACAATAAAATGGTGTTATTCGTATGTTCAAGCTCTCAAAGCTCCCCATTACTTTATTTTACACCTAATGTTCACATTGCTTTACCGAGCTGTGTTTTCTCCGCCTCCCATAAATAGCACACGATGTACAGACGATAACAAGGGTGTCTACTGGCTTCAGCTCTACGACACCTATGAACAGTGGTACCAGGGTGTCGACAAGGCATTTCTAGCTGTAAACTCTGGTGTACCGGTACCATCGAATTATTCACTGGACTATTCCGAAATTCCTTCGAACCGTTCTATTATTTTTGCAAAGATCCTACAGAGTAACGACCCACCGCTGCAAATCTCGGACCGTAAGTCCTATGATGCATTCATTGCCACACTAAAGGTTGAGCTTGCGAGGATTGAGGATTTGACTATCTATCTATATGCGGGTAGATTCACTGAAGTTGACGAGCTTTCCTAAATCATTGTTTTTGGTTCATTAGTAGGATCTGGGGTGCGATTATATTCCATTTAGTCCTGTTACCATTGATGCGGTCGATATCAATATTACTATAATGTTCACAATACTTGGATCATGCGAGATAAAAAAAAAAATCCATTTATACCTAAATTGGCTGTATATATTTAAATTGGTACCAGCGACAGCTAATTGCCCCTGGGCCACAAACCACAAAGCTCCCATAGCAAATTCACTTGGAAGATCCTAAAATTCAACCTAAAATAGATTCATACCGGCTTAGAATACCGGGGATAAATGAAGAGAGCTTGCCAATAAGTTTGTGGCGGCGAGCAATCATTGCTAGTCTTACCATAATGACAGCGCCAGGATTGTAGCATCGAAAGCGCCGAGATCTATAGACCTATCGTACCTAGTATTGCTTTTACTACATGTAAGTGCAAAGGTGGTTAATGTATAAATTATAGTACTATGACACAAATAATTCCAACAGATGAACAATTTCGTCGAATATAGATATGTATTGATGTTGTATGCGCCGCTAGCCCGCATAGTATCTCACCCCATTTTAAAAGTCTTCATGATCACTTTCCGCAGTAGGCCTTTTGCCAAGGAGCTTTCGGCTGGGTTTTGTGATCTCAAAACCTAGCTTTGCTCGCTTATGAAGGTGCGAAAGGTCTGGATACTCTACCGCTCGGCTATCCCGTCTGTATTCTACTTCCATTCCGCTTCCCATCTCGCCAGCTTTGTTATTACTATTACTCTGCTGGTAGTTCGCTTGAGCGTTTTCTTTGCCACTGCTGATACTTTCCATTTCACGATCACTATCGTCGTCGAGGTCCGATTCGGTATCTTCCGCGAAACTGTCCTGACTATTTACGTCATGCATGACGTCATCATCGCTCTCGTTTGTCGTCTTGGACCCCGACATGTAACTTTCCTCCAAGATCTTTGCGCTGTTGTGGATGACATAGTCCCATTTTTCTGTGCTTTTCATACCTCCAAATTTCGACCCGAGAATATCTTTAGCTTGCTGCTCCTGGCCCCCCGTCATGATCATTCGTCGTACATCGGTTCGAGTCTCCCAAGATACTTCTTGCAACCGCTTTTCCTTATCCGCCTTCTGATACCAGCCTATCTTCACATAGGTAACAGGATATCTTAGGGGCTTGTGATCCGGATCTATCGACTCAAGGCCGTCTCCTTGCTTATCAACGAATGCGACGCTTGATATATATTGTCCCCAGGCAGGGTCTCTCCCGTGTGTAAGGGCTCTTCTCTGCTCCGGTTTAAGTTCGAGACTTTCGCTGTTTGTTTCGTCAACATTACGACGCCTTTCTACCCGGTGTATACAACAAGATGGGGGACCAGAGGCAACGATTACTGTATAACCCGAACTATACCACCCGGTGGGCTTCATATAGGCTTCTATACGATCGTAAACTGTTGTATCAGCTGCATAGTCGAGCACCTGGATCCCCCCTTTGACTTCTACGCTGTATTGGCTCTTCTCTTGCCGATTTTTTGAAGGCCTGGACTTCGGAGGAATTGTGGCCGGTTTGGGTGATTGTCTATGTTGTGTCGTTTCGGCAAGTTGTGTGGGTTGCCAATTCTCCTTTTTCGATATGTAAGCAACTTCCCAATCTTTCAACTTGTTTTCCAATTCCTGTATCTCTCGTAATTCATCCTCATGATTGACAGCAACCATTCCCTTTTTGTTACGAGAGTTTTGAGGGTTATTTGGGTCCGGCACTTGACGTTCGCCAACCTCTTTTTCGCTATTCCTCCACCTGTACTTGTTTTTCGCCTTGCTGAGCTCGTAAAATGCCTGCTCCCACATTAACAGTATAGATTCTGCTGTTTCCTCTTCGCAGAGGGGAGGTGTTGATGTAAATTCTCTTGGACTTCCATGGGCCTTGTAGCTCCGTTGAACGAAATAATTAAGAACCCCATTTGCCCCAGCGTACGCTGTCCGCTCTTCAGGGCTCATAAACCCTTTATCGTCTATTTTTTTAATACATTTGATACTGCCCATGGTGAGGACAATATCCTCATTTGTAGATGGGATGTTGAGTTGTCTGCTAGACATAGTAAGTATCACGTACATGGCGACACAGGCTTCTGACCGAATCAGATCTTCTAAATCCTCGGGAGACTTAATTTCGGAACCGTTTATACCCCGCAGAAAGTTTGCCATATCTTTTCGATATTGTCGAAAATTGTAATATGAGCAAATATCTATCAAATCTCGTGACACGGTTCTGTTAGCCGCACTATAACCATTCTTCCGGGCTCCCGTGACCAAAACTGAGATAAACAAGTCATAATGTCGCTTCAGAGGAATAGTTTGATAAAATTCTAGAATATCATGTGCCGTGATTTTAAGATCGGGCGAGAGGAGCGATTTCCAGTACTCAATTATGTATTTATCGATTTTGTGGGTCGACGTGCTTGTACTCGAGATATTCTGGATCAAGGCGTATTTCGCTTGCGAAACGACTTTTTCGCTAGACCCCTGAGCGGATCCTTTTGCCCCTTCCTGCAAAGATGGAACATTTTCCGGCAGGTCCTTGTTCACTGAAACCGCCGGGAGGTTTAGAGCTCTGCTAGGGTGACCCATGGATCGAAGTTCGCCTAGTCTTAGGGTTATGGATTTTTGAATTGTGGTAAAATTGTCAATACTTGCGACCTTATATCAAACCAAAGAGGCCTAATCAAGATTGGTGAATTTAGCGCTGGCACCCATAACTAGCCAGCTCCCCAAATTGAGAACCGATTTATAAATGGCTCTCAAAATTTCGAATGAGAAGCTGATATTACGATCCCTCGACTTAGATATATACCGACATGGAAGGTTATTCATGCTTCTACCAGGCCAGTTTCGGCCATCGATCTGATCCACAGAGCGAACATCACATCTACCTATCCTTCGAAACTCCATATCAAGATTGGCATGAGGCTTTCGGTAATTATATGAAAGGGAGCGAAGTTGGTCGGAGCGACCAAATTGCAGGCGGTTTCGAAACCATCTACGCCATAATCAATCGAAGAACCAAAGATATCGATGACCGTTCAAGGAACGAACCGGCCGAGGTACTCGACTCACAATCCTACGACGAATTTATCGCAGCTCTTCACAACGAATACTCAAAGGATCCAGAGCTCAATGTTGTTTATTTCGTTGAAAAGTGATTGCGGAGTTGGGTAGGCCCTTGGCCATTAGAAAATCCCACCGACGTATCAAGTCCCTAATCCCCTTGGCGTTTTACTAGACATGATACGTCATAAACTGAAGAGCAGTGATTGGAATGTACCTATAGTATATATAAACCGTTTAACTCAGCACGAATGCGTCTTGACCTTAGATTTGCTCACTTTCATAGCTTAGCGTCATACGTATATACATTTCGCGGATGTATCTCTGAAATCCCAGTTGACGGTTAAATTCCAGGAGTTTGCTGGTATTCTACTACCATGCTTTACTAAAGTATTTAACCTACCCTATTGTAAGGAAGGATTTCACTTCTCCCCGCGGGGCTTTTCAGCTTGTCAGCTATATTCTCAGGCAACGAGCGCCTATTTCTAGCATCAATGGGTAATACATGAATTTTATGGGCGCGCAGCTTGCAATAGATGATTAATATGGTTCAGATTGTGTACTTCGTGGTGTCTGATACAAAATCAGTTTAGGTTGTTTAAAGAATCTTATTTATCATTGATGGCATCAATTACTTGGAACCAAAACCACATTCTCTGAAATTCATGAATGAAAACAAACCTATTCGAAGCCATATTACTATTAATGTCTAACAGGTTTCGCAAAGACACAAGCTGTCAATAAACCTCAAATGGAATCTTCTAGGCTAAGATAGTGATTTACTCCCGCGAGGAGGGGTCTTTCTGGAAGCACAAAGAATATTAAAATCTAAAACCGATAGCCGGCATATGTTTTAGTGTGTACAATAAAAGCGTAGAGATGTAAGAAAGTTAGAAACAAGAAGAGTAAACCCTTATGGTACTCACACGAAGTGGACTTCGTGTTATCTGACAACCATAAGGTACCAGTGTTTTATATGGATGGTACCTGAACACAACACATCTGCATACCAAATATCAAATATAGGTTATCGATTCAAAACGCGGATCGGTCAAATTGCGGCTGCTAGCCGTATCCGGTCCGACCTGTTTAACTCCTTCACAAACCAGGATATATATAAGCAGTCTTCTGGTAGCATCTACCCGACTTAATGTACATATGTGTCGGTTTGAATCCTCTGAATCTAAAATAAAAAAGAAATGTTTGCAGAAAACACCTCGAATATCAGCACTACGAGCGATGGAAACAGTACCAATTGTTGGCTTCACTTAGGCAAGGAGAACTTTCATGGGCCGGCCACCCTTCTAAAAGACAAAAAACCCGATTTCGACAAGGTTGTCAGATGTATAAGAGAAGAATTCGAGGTGGTAGAAAAAATAGAACTCAGCCATGAGATGCATAGTCACTTAGCTGGATTATCCGAGAAAATCAAAGCATATATTCACCTACTAGCCACCGCCGCTCCATTTATAATGTGCGACTGCAACGATAGGCAGGATAAAACCATCGCAAGACTCTACTTCCAGAGTCGAAGTGAGCTGGCAAAGGTTGCCAACAATGCACATCTCGCTTTTCTTTGTCGTTTCAAGGAGAAGTGCGAGCTTTTGGATCACTCTAAGACCTCTAAGGTTTTGGGAGAGTCGGCACCAGATCTCCATTGTGATGACAAGGATCTCGAGCTCTTCCGAGCCTGCATGAATCTATTTGGAAACTTAGTTTATGATATCACCGGGATAGCTCCGCTAAAGGATAGTCAGGGTGTACCAGAGTAGCTGTAGTGGCCTATCGCGTCTTTTTTTCCTTATTTTTTTGTTGTTTCAAAAGAAAAAAAGCCATGTTCATTATTTTTTCAAAAGATTTTGGTTATGAGACTATCATCCTTTCAATTATCCCAAGTACCTAACCATTGTATATTGTCTTACATGCAAATCAGCTGTTAGTTTTTAGGCAGTAGACCTGGTCCTATAATATCGAGACGTGATTGTACCACATGTCGCATAATTCTATCTAGCACCAAGGATGATTCCATGATGTGCTTTTGGAGATTCTTATACATGAAACATGAAACTGCGGCAATATCGCATGCACGAAGGCCCTTGATGTCAGGTGGCATACGCTATTGAAATAATATCCCATGTTCTATGTATAATAAATTAATTTTTTTAGATTGACAAGACGCACAGGTTTTGGACGTGAGTCTATAACGGCTAGGTTTGATTTTAATTCGGTGTTCCGGGGCCGTGACATTGGAAATTAGCGGTTAAGTGTCACGTCTTTACATAGGTCAGATGGTTTCGCATAGTAGTAGTGTGCGAATTTATTCTGAAATATCAATTCAAAATTTTGTTTATTCACTATCCATTCCTTTGTCTTTGTTTTTAGGTTCTGAGTGGGATTTCGAGAATAAAATCCCACCTAGTTGAAGCTTTTATTGTCTACGAAATTCTTTTTCTATAGATCTATGGGCTGGGTCATGTTAATAAACTCAACCGGGTTGAGCATTAACACCAGTTTTTTAGCTAACGAGACCAGGCTTAACCTTCTAGGTAGCACGTTCATGTCAATTATGTAAACTGTGTGTTTACGGAGTAGTATCAACAAGACCATACGTTCCGAAAAAGTGATGGTTACTCAAAAGAGATAGGATCTTAATTTAATCTTCTGACGTCATAATAATTTTGTAGGTGGATGTTTGACTAGTGTGGCGTCCAACTAGTGTGGCGTCCTACTAGTGTGGCGTCCTACTAGTGTGGCGTCCTAATTGTGTCAGAAGTTTTTTTATATTATGGTCAAAATATGCTACAATCTATTCATACTATTTAACCTCCGACTTCCTGACCCATTTCTGGTAACAGGTAATTCACTTACTTTAGGTCATACCTCGGCCCACATGCCCCGCAAACCGACCTACAAGCTGGTTTATAGGCTGGTTTGCAGACTAGTTTACGGGTTACATTTTTATTGTTTATCAGCCTGTAAGCTGGCTTGCAAACCGGTCTACAAATTCGAACTGGCCTTGAGCTAATAGCCTAGGAATCGACGGCCTATAAATTAGCCTACAGACCAGCTTGTGAATTCATGGATTGGCCTACGGATAAACCTGTGGGGCAACTGGTAGGCCGGCCTGTAAATTGGCCATGGCCTAGCTTCTCAGACGTGTGGGTAGGGTGGTGATTCAAAGTAAGTAGAAAAACAGCATATGTTTTGTGAAAAGGGTGACTTTTGGAAGATATAACCTTATAACTTCGACGTTATAGTAATCACACCCGGCAATAATTTAATAGTTTTAATTAAAGGCCTTTAACATCGCCAAGCAGCTGCGGATGGTGCGCTTGATCAACGTGTCGGCTTATTTCCACTTGTCTTGAGTCCCGTTTGTGCAAAAACTGGGATATATTAAGGTGTAGGTCCGCACCCCCATCAACGGCGGACTTTATTTCTTTCGTACTAGTTTTTGTAGGAAGGACTATACGTTAGGCCTCAACCCAGAGCCATCTCTCCAGAATCAATTCTCGCCTAAAAATGCAAACCGCCAATCCTACGAAGATTTCGTCTCTTCCATCTTTTGACATACCACATAAAAGTTTGAAATCAGATATCCAGCATTATTTCCCCGATGAACTTCCGCTATCTGATGGCCCCGACAAGTATGATCCTGCCAAAGCATACGAGAGTTCCGTGCGCAGGATGAACCGGAAGTATGAGATTGTGGCGGAAATACGGCTGCTGAAAGAAAAACTATGGACAACAGAAATGGAGCTACTGGCGACGAATGCAGAATTGCAGGTTTCGAAGACAAAATTACAAGCGGCAGAGAGGGAACTGAAGGTGAGGGAGGCAGAAATTCAAATAAACTTTGGGGCCCGACGAGAAAGCGATCAATCATTTGGCAGGCTCCTATTAGAAAAGGCAACGACGGTCCAGGTAATAGCTAGCGATAAACAAAAAGATGAGGGCGAGAATCTACCAAGACAAGGAAGTAAAGTTCTACGTTGTAGGCTAGAACCATATCGAGTCTCTAAGGATCTTAGACTTGTCCGGCGCTGTTCTCGGCGTCTGATTAAAATGATGGGGGATGCATCTCAAAATTGACTCCGAAATTACAAAGCGCCCGCAAAGGACAACTCGAGGGATGAGGCGGCTTTAAGTTAACTCTATATTTGATGTTGAAGTTTGTGTAATTAAATATCAATACTAAAAGCGAAATTTGATGCCCAGCTCCGCTCATGTCTTAAAGTCCGGTTATGCGCTTAAGCATCACAATTAGGTAGGCAACATAACGACATTTGGCTCCATACGTTGGCGATCCGCAATGATTCTAAAAAGTATTTAATAATATATCAGGTATTGTAAGTTGCAAATTAGCTACCACTGCTACTATTATTCTTCAAATTTGCGACAAAGTTACAGCGATTTGCCTGATCTATCCGTATTTTTAGAATTTAGATCCATAAGATGGCATATAGCTATCTAACCCATTTTGGATGCAGAATTTTAGAGTTGAGACTATCAAATTCTAGATCACTTTGCATTTCTGGAACTCACTTTCCGAAGTCTAGACGTCGTGGTGTCTGCTGAAGGTCTATAGTAGCTGTATAGAAGAATCGGATCGCACCCTATATTGGCTGGTATCCCATCTAAGTTTTGGTATAACCTTGGACTTATGATTAAACAACGGGGCACGGAACACCGATATTACGAACAGTGACATTCGCTGTCTTGGAATTAATATTCGGCATGGATTCAAATTCCGAAATTAACGAAGTACGAGCCTCGGCTATGCGTGTACTACTACCTACCAGTCAAAACCAGATAGTCTCTTCAACAGTGAATCCCTCTACCAAGCCTCCACGGAGATTCCATCTATGGAGAAAGAAGACGGAAGTACCCGTCGTGTACCCACTCCCAATTCTACTTGCGGCAAACGAGTTTCCAGAACTTTGGCCTGAGAACGCCTTTCTTAAAAAAAGAAGGCATGGAGAATATAGCTGGAAGGATATATCGATCGAGTTAGAGGCGATAGGTTGCGGAGTTTTATCTAAGGGCTGTTTGCAAAGACGATTATCGAGAAATACTCCATGGTTCGGTTTAACCGGAATCGAAATGAAGACTCGTAGTATGAGAGCAAAGAGCGCAAACGCCCATAGAAGTTACCGTTGCTACCAGAGATCAGAAACATCAAATCCAGAACCCTATCAGCAAGAAGCTCCTAATATCGGCTTTCTAAACTACCCTGAACCTTCTGATGATTCTCAACGCAGAAGCCAATATGAATCCGATGAGATTCTTATAGAAAGTATGCATTTAATACCTCAGTTGGAGGAACACATATGTTCCACATTGTAGTTTATCAATCTTAAAAATTACTTAATTTCATGCAGTAGTACAGCTTTCTAGCGGCTGTTTGATATTACTATGAATTTTAAGCAGTTTCGATGTATTTCCACCTATTTTATCTCTATCGCTGGTCAACAGAATCAATGTTGTCGAGTGTACCTCACCCCTGCTCCCGCTGAAGGTTGTCACGCAATTTAATTTATTGATCCAACGGTTGGCCCACTCTCAAGTCTATCATACACTTGGCCCTTAGCATCATATACAATATCGCTAACTAATGGATCTAGAGTATTTCCATGTGTCCCCTGCATGCACCGATTCACATGTACAGATCGGATTTTGGTGGGCTGGCTTCGCTTTTAAAGGAATTGTCGCCTATAAATTTAAAAAAAATTGGTTGATATTTGAAGTTATTTAAGAAAATAGCAAATTTATTAAAAATGACAAAACCCGACTTAAGGTGTAATTTAGTTTTTATTAGATATTTAATGTTCTAGAGGTGCAGAAAAGAATGATTAATTAATTATTTGAATCCATAACAATAATGTAGAAAGATACTTGGAAAAATCAGCTTTAAATCTTCCTAGAGGCCATTTCTCGCTCTCTGGACTAGTTATAGTCAGCGCCATCAGGTAGTAGGAAATAGTAAATCATGAGTCTTTCGTTTTTTTGTATCCTTTAGATCATTTATATGTACTTGCCTCCAACATAAATACATCACAACCAACCAAATTGTATCCATGTATGTAGTGCTCGCTTATGAATCGATCCCGGCGGCCAACGATAGTGTGTGTGTGCAAATCTGACTGCGCAATTGCATGTAGGCTCCGATGGGCTTGCTATTTGGCAGCAATTTTGGAACAAGATTAGATACGAGACTATTCAAAAGTTGTAAGTGCATAGGCTATCTTGAAATATTAGGGACCCTACGCATAACAGGGCCTGTGAATACCACTAAATCCTTCACGAATTTAGCAATTGTCAAGTTCATATATCGTAAGCTACACCTATACCACGCCTATACCAGAATAACTAGCTTCTATTAGTCCCGTTGACAAAGAATCAAAAGGTTTTTTGCCACATGTACAATAGTCGAGCCACAAGAACTATAGAATTCCATTAACTAGCTAGATAGTATTTCAACTGAGACCTATATATAGTTTCTTGCATCAATCCGCAGTGGCAAGTTGACAATAAGAGCACACATAGAGTAGCTTTTCTCTATCCGCAAACGTTTATTTGATAACACTGAGGTTTTTCGCGCTGGACTATGCTATCCCTATCACTTCAACTAAATCTTGTTCCCCGCGAAAAACGCCCATCGACTTCTCCGTGTACAGATGGCTGCATATTAATATTCACAAAGTGATGCCCATTTGCCCCGGTATCCACGGATGAAGTTTCTGTTGTAGGGGGGTGTCTATTTACAGAGGTATTTGGATCCGATGCTCGTAATCGCCTATAGAAAAGCATTGTTAGCCGGATAGATACGGTCGATTTCTGGTGTTTAGTTCAACACCAAGTACCTGATAACCCCGCCTAAGTCCTTCCGCTTTCTAATAATAAAATATCCGATAATTGCAAGTAAAATCAAAGCAAGAACAATCGCTGCGATAGAGCCGGGTGTCATTGGCTTCTTAGAGCTTGGCTTTCTTGAATAATAAGATCGGGGCTTCAAGGCGCTCATTTCTGCTGGGTGTCTAACGATTTTAGGCGTATAACGCTTTCAACGATTCTTGAGTATCGAATGCTGCCGATTTGCTAATTTTATATTCCCGTTCCCAAATTTTTCTTAAGGGCGACTCGCTTATTTGGGGTACATGCTATATTAGCGAGCGCTTTGTCTTAATAGGAGCGAGGCTAGGGTCACTCCCTAACAACCAACGCTATACTACGTACTATCGATAGGGAATAGTTACGCACAAAGACATAGAAAAATAAGCAGAGCTTCAACCTGAAGAAAAGAAAACAGTCAGAAATTTGGTGGAGATTTGATTTTTTGGTTTATTGCCTTGGGCGGTAGCGGCGTGTCAAGATCAAGGACCTTTTGTAATTAACTAGCATTTCTTTTTAACCATGCACATATCTCGATCTCGCACCATGCAGTATCAAGACTTGTCGAAACCGAGATTTTCGCCAAAGCAATTGATTATTTGTTATAGCTCGCAAGACAGGTAGAAGGAATTGTGATTTATTTACTACTCAGCCCTGCGGTATACCGGTATAAGAAAGTCATAGTAAACCCATGCCTTGTATAGAGCTACAGCTATGCCGATCTAGACTGTTAACATGCTGCTACTCTTTCTGCTTCTGGTACTCCAAATCCTCGTATTACTACCAATTTGGGTTTGTAGAGCTTTCGGGCACGGGTTAGTAGTCTCGAATCTCCACAACGGCCTTTTACATATACTGAAAATAAGGGATTCCGCTGGCGGGTACTGATGCTTCTACACCAGGCTCGGAATCTTAGCCCCATACTCAATATATATATATATATATATATGCCGGATGTTTACTCCTAATAAAATTTCCCCTTCCAATAATAATAAGCCTAGCCCACTTAGAAGAGCTAGAGTTGTGACAACGGCCTTTGGGCACCGGGATGGCTGGCCACCGGCCCACCGCTGCATCGATACCCTTTGAGCAAGGCCAGGAAATGTGGTATTTTGGTGGTTTCGCGAAAGAACATCCATGTTTGTGAACGGCCAACATGCAACATCGCAACGCAAGACCAGCAGGCACTTTCTTCACGTGACCATATCCACGACTACATTGAATCGAATGGCATCCTTTTCAGGGCCTCGGCTTCTTTTGATTCAGACCGTAAATTTCGATCCGAGTTGCATCATACAAACACCTAGCACAAGTGGCCTCTAATATTGGTCGAGGCTCCAAAACGGCCTCGAGGCGCCGTCTAGATCTAGTAGCAGCCAACGAACAGTAGCGCACTAGTAAATATATACCTAGGTAATATTATGGACCAAATTTCCGATCTAGACTCTTTCGAATCTATACTTATGTAGGGAGGTTAGCAGCCAACCCAGTCTTTGAAATCGTTGGTCCGGTTGTGCGCTCCGGATATGCATAGCTACCTCGGCTAAAAGGCCCCATCAACCTAAGAAATATAGATGTGACAAGTATACCAGTCACTAATGCGGCAAAAATGATATAAAAAATATATATATTGTTTAATATGCTACTTTAGATTATGAAGAGGGTACGAACAACACGGCGGATGTAGAATTATATATGTCAGGTTTATCACAAGGTGACATGATTATAGCCTAGGAAATTCGTATTGATCATATGGATCGTGGATATTATAGCTCTAGCACAAAAGATATTCATTTTGGCCATGGAAGAGGTCTGATGATGTAGGTCTACTTGAGAGCTCTGTGTGTATATCTTTGCATTGTTTTCAACCTTCATTGTTTTCAATCTTCATCGGTGGTATCCGAGGCTGTGAGGTATGACTTTGGGGTGAACCCAGTAATCGTAGATGAGATCGTTATTACAACAGTCGATCGTTCTCTGGTAGATGTCTCGGTGATCGTTATGGTAGTAGCATCTAATGAGTAGTATTTGGTAATAGGCTCGACTATAGTAATAGCATCTTGCAATGATGTAGCTGTGCGAAGAAGAAAAGCGGCTGAGATGTAAGATGTAGTAAAAATGGTAGCAGAGCTATTTAATATCATTATTGGAAGCTCGTTGTCAGAATGAGCTCTTGTGGGGTAGTTAAGTGTTGGTATTAA